GTCATAGTCAACAGAGTGTAGAGTCACAATGTATTGATGATCTCTCTGTGCTGTGGCATTCTGAAATGCAAAAAATATAATGACATACATATGATAGACAGTATTGTGTGACAGTGGAAAGGATTACGATTAGATCTTGAATCTTCACTCGGAACACTTCCACCACTGTCTGGCCAATTCTGCCCTCTATTATCACACTAAAAGGGATGCATGCATCCATCCCCCAGAACATATGCCTGTTGCATTGTTCAGGCACAGGTGAGAATGGTCTGCAATGTGGGCATGAACAAAGCAACAAGCATCCCCCAACCCATCCCAGAACATTCAGAAGCTGTTTCCAGTCTCCACATGCAACAAGCAGCTATTGGGCAAACTCACAAAGCTAAAAAAGAAAAAGCCCCGGATCAGTGAAAAGGTTGTTTTTTTAAAACTGATTAGATGCAGATGGAGTTTTAAATGCTGCTACAGATAGAGTTTCAAATACCAAAAACTATTCATTAATTTATTCAATTCTGGTCTGAACTAGAAAAAAATAAGAGAGAAAACACATATAGAACTTAGTTACAGTGAATCAATGCATATATTATATTTCTAATGGTATTTTTTTTACATATGTGAACAAGTGAGAAGTTCAATGTCTCCATGTAATGTGACAGGTGCACAGGCTGTTGTAACTAGCACAAAGACCCAGTGTTGTAAAATTGCAACATAGACACAACAAGCTCAAAATCAAATTTGATGAATGTTTTCCACAATAACTTAACATCTACACGTTCTGGACTTTGTAATAAACACAAATAAAAATATTTCGGCTAATTTACTTACTTGAATCTTGACAAATCCAGTCCAGTGAAACAAGGATTTGAGCTCGGAGAAAAATTTGCAGGTTGTGTGAGTTCATGGTCTGATGACTGGACCTATAAACACGTATTCCATCCAATAGCACTGTGAGGGAAAAAAAACATTCAGAGATCTTTTTTTTTAGGATGGTTAAATGTGACGTTGTAATATTGCAACAATTGGCCTTAAAGGGGTAAACAAACATTCACTAGCATCAGAAACATTATGACATCATAGTTGCTGCCTCCTGATTAAAGGACCTGTAATGGTGTTTTTTTTTAGACCTCAGCAATCTTCAGGTTTTACAGCTGCACTTCTCTTAATTGAAACTAAATCTGGTCCCCAATCTAAGTGTTTGAGGTTCCACGGAAAACCCTCTTAATAGGTGAGTTAAAATCAACCATAGACAAGGTCTCATTTAGCGCACTGAGATTCTGAGAGTTTAACTCAATGCAAGTTTATCTGTAACAAGGCATGTACACAAACAAACTCTGATGTGTCCTGGTAACAGTTCAGTCTAGCACAGTATAGGAGCCGCAATGGGCGCTTCAGATCAACCAGACTTCTTACATTAAAAGTCACCCATAGACAAAGTACTGCGCTTATATACTGACATGTGGGGGATGCAGCTGTGGGACTGTCGCTGGGCCATCTGGTCTCAGACCTTTAACAATTATATTTTTAATTTCTATTTTTGCTCAGACTCCTCCGCTCCCTTCCTGAGCCGAACCAGGTCACAATGACCCAGCCAAGGTGTTGTTACTAAACTGAGCGGCTTGGTGTCGTGGGATTATGTTTTTCAAAACTTCGCTCATCCTGGTGCATTTAAGGTATCTCAGGAGAGACACTTGCTTATTACATAATTTAGTTTCAAAAAATTCAAGCAACTTTAAGGTTGGTGGGTTCATTGTTTATCTATCACCGCAAGACCTCTCTGAAGTCTGGCTATTTGTTATATCTAAGCCACAGTCAAAGTCTGTCTTTGTGAAACTGGCCCCAGGTCTGGAACATGTCTTCAGTTCTGGTTCAGTTCTGTTCTTATTGCAGTGACAGCTTTTTAAATTGGCTCCAGCTCTGGAGCATCTGGAGGTTTCACTAATAAGGAGATACTTCATCTTTTTGCTCATCATGATCATCATCATCATCATCATCATCTTCAGGACAAGACTGTGAAGAAACTGAGTCTGTTCCATTGTTAGCTCTGACTCCACACATCCAGACCTGACTGACACTGACTCAAGTGACATCACTTGAGGATGTTTATCAGACCTTGCAGACTGAAAGGCTTCATACAACTTGATGAGCAGTAGAAACCCAACTCCTGGAAACAGACTCTAATGAGTGCTCCTTTAATTCCTGATGGGTTTTAAATAGAAGTCTGTCACTTCAGAGATGATGCTCATTTATTCATTCAAGTTGACATGTTTGGTCATGGAGTGATTATCAGTGATCAGTGATGGTGTCAGTCTCATAAACACCATGAGAAAGATGTTTCAGTGGGAGTCTGTTCTCTCTGTTCTCCACAGGACCAGCAGGAGTGTTTTCTTCTTTACAGTGCATCAGTTCACTAAAGTTTCACAACGTGCACAGCTCCATGGCACAGAGTTTCCCATGTGAACCTCTGTGCCATGGAGCCGCTGGGAGCTGGTAAATAAACTGCTTTTATCCTTTAGACAAACAAAGCCTTGTTTCCTGTTGAGCCAAATATCAATCAGCTTTCAGGTGCCTGGGTACCACCTCCCCACTGGTGCCTGGGTACCACATCCCTACTGGTGCTTTTGTCCCCCAGTCTCCAGCCTGCAGCTGAGACTTCCGCAGCCTCAGTCTGCGGTTCATTCCTGTGTCCACATTTTCATGTCTGTTTATTTTACATAACAGCAGGTTGAGACCTGCCCCTGACGCGACCCTGCAGATTTACACTCACACTAATTCATGCTGAAACATGGTCTTCTCTTTGCTCAGACATTATTTATAATAACAGAGGCTACTGGACAAGTGTTGACACATTTCACTGTGTAAAGATAACTAGTGAAAAATCTCTTTATTATGGAGGAGCAGGGATGTCACAGGAAAAGTAATAAAGCATTTCTTTTATTTGATATTTGATAGCTTTAAAAATAAGAATTTATGGACAATTAATCCATCAATAAATACTTCAGATTTAAAAATGGATTTACAAAAACAGCAGAAAACTCTCATCAAATAAACCATTTATAAATACATTTATTAATTCATGAATTAATAACAGAATTTGGAAAATATTTTATATATTCCTATATGTATATAAATATATACAGGAATACACACCTGGATTCTTAAATTTCCATTTCGTTTTTCCAGCTGCTTTTCCTTTTCCTTTACCTATTAGCTCATCCATTAGCTTAGTCATTTAGCTTCTCCTGTTAGCCTTTCTGTGACACTCTGGCCCTTCAGTGCTGTAAAACCAGCCTAAACAATCCCAGTTGGCCATGGGATGTAACAAGCTCTCTGATTGGTGAGAGCTGACCAGTCATATCATATCCATATGGGTTTACCATCTGAATAAGAATTAAAACGACATGCAATAAATAAGAACCCAGAAGTATAAAATACTGCTGAAACAAAGAAATTATGAATGATATAATACAAAGTTAAATAAATGAAATAATAATTGGACTCATACAGAATAAGTGATTTAAAGCTCTATATTTTCCTCTTTTCCTGTCTTTTATTTGAAGTGTTGATCCATAAGAAGATATATATGTGGTTTTAAGAACCAAAAACCATCTCAGTGTAGTTTTTCATCTCCTCTCTCAGGCTTCTCTCTGGAGCTCTAGTAACAACAGGTCGGTGAGACAATCAGAAGAGAGGAGGCTCTGAGAGTCTCTTCTGATTGGTTACATTTAAAAATATGATGGAGCACAGAGATGAATATTGTAGAGCCTCTAACATTGTCTGGGCAGAACAGACTGTAAATGTATCATGAAAACTGCACGGTGAACCACTGTTTCTCACTGAACTCAGAAGATGATTGTAAAATTTTGAACTGCTTCGTGGACAAAAATACCATCAGCTTCACCGATGTGAAGAGCAGTTGAGAAAATTCCCAGCAGGTGTTTAGAGGGAGCCCACTGACTGGATAACCCAGGATCAAAACTGACCCTTATGGTGCTGTAGTGTGTATATGTGTGTATATATATGTTATTGTTTGATCAGTGGTTGAATGTTTAAATTAAATGACTCACATGTCTCTCTCTTTCTTTTGTCTTCAGCCATCCCACTGATAGACTGTCCTCAGGGCTACAGGAGAGTCAACAGCTCTCACTGCCAAGGTAAGAGCTCTGCTATTAGCCACACTAGCATTTGGGCTGTTAGTCAATATCTTCACAAGTATCGGGTGGATTGCAGTGAAACCTGACACAGACACTCATGATCCCCAGATGATGAACCCCACTGACTCTGGTGATCCCTATTGGAAAGTATAAGTGACTATATGTGCGTGATGTCTGTGTAGAGACTGAGTGATGATTCTGAGATCGAGGGCTGCATTTTTTGACTGAAATAGCTGCAATTGGGTGCTAAGAGTTTTAAAGTAGGTTGTTTGGTAAAAAGAGTCACTGTAGATTGAGTGATACCTGTTCAGGTGAGGTGACGTCCTGTCTGACACATCCTGTCCTCTGGTGGACCAGGTTTCCTGTCCTGTGCTGTGATCTGACTAAAGCCTGTGTGGCAGTAAAAGTCTCTGGGTTTTGGTAACAGGAGAAGACAGAGAAACACACTAATAAAAGACCAACCAAGTCGGCTGTTAACAGCCTATTAAACCATACTGGCTGAAAAGTTTGTGCTCCCTTTCACCTATAAACTGGAAGCCACAGTGGGACAGAGACATGAGTCACAGTCTGTTACATCAGCCAAGTGTGTTCTCACTGGAGGAATCTGACTCGCTAAAACCTGACACATTTCACAGTCCAGTCGAAAAAACTGTGAGAAGCTGGAACCGAAAATACAGCGGCCCTGCAGCAGCTGACTGTGTGACTGTATGGATGATGGTCTGTCGGCTATTTCACCATCTTTACAGCTATTGGATGGATTGACATCATATTCATATTCCAGTGAATCTTTCTTTCCATCATGAGGACACTTCTGGCTTTAATTGAAATGTCTTGATAACTACAGGATGTGTTGTCATGGCGATGAATCTGAATGGCTTTGGTGACCTCCTGAGTTTTCCTCTAGTGCTATGAGGTTTTTGAGATATTTCGACTACAGTGACATCCAGTCCCCTCAGCTTCAGCTCTACTTTGATTTTGTGCTAATTAGCAAGCATTAGCATGCTGTCATTATTTTAGCATGCCGATGTCAGCGGTTTGCACCAAGCACTGCTGTGCCTCAAACGGTTGATGAGAGTGAACCAGAACATTAAGGTTGCAAACCAGAAGCCAGAACCAGAGGCTTAAAGAGGCTAAAAAACTGTGACCTGCAGAGGGGGGGTAATAAAATGAAAAAATAAAAAAAATAAAAAAATAATACTGATGTTTGATCTGATCATTAACTGAAGCTCCTGACCTGTATCTGCAGGATACATAGTAGTAGTAGCACAGTCTATAGTTGCTTTTCGAAAAAAAAGGTTCACAATTTTCCTCAAACAGATGGTCACTGTAGTTTTTTATTAAAAATTATATAAAGACACAACCGATAAAAAAATACACATAGATAATCACTCTGTAAGTCAATATAATCACTTTCTCTCTCAGATTAGATACATTAATATATTCATATTTACAGATCTTCATTTAACAGTCACACACTCACCTGGGGGATACAAGCCCGGTCTGACTTGGTCCTCCTGTAATGGACTTTATATAGTTGTATTGTTACCTTGGTAACCCAGCACCAAATGTGAAATATAAAATAACAAAATAAAAATATAAAATGACACAAATATGTAGCTACACTTTGCAACCGACAAATAAATATAAAATTACTAACAATTTAATTCTTAATTACAAGATTGTGCTATTAGATATAGCAGCTATTTAAAGCTCAAATGTTACATTGACAATAAGAAAATATCTTAAATATAGTCACTCATCCTGTGTCATGTCCATATATTTGTTTGAAATATGAATGGTCGACCTGAAACAACAAAAATGATCTGATGTAACCACCTGATATATGGTGTATTATTATCACGTTCACTTAACTGCCTCTCTATGTTCATTCAATTGTTGCAGATTTAGATGGTTGCCTGCTGAACTCACTCATTCCTTCTGATAGCAGCATGAAAGTATCATTATAATACACACTGACAGACATGCTCCATATTTCCTTCATTAAAGTCAGTGCAGTAGTTGAGACAGCAGTGTAAATGTCTGTGAACCATCTGGACTGATGTGTTTTCTCATATGTCCACAGATCTGGACGAGTGCCAGCTGCAGGGAGTTTGTCCCAATGGAAACTGTCTGAACACCGTGGGCAGCTACAGGTGCATGTGTAAACCTGGCTATGTCCCCGACCCCACACTCACCACGTGCATATGTAAGATCTAACATTTTAAATCAGTCTCTTTTTATCTCATGACTCCTACCCTGGTTCATTATTAATCAGAGTCAGACTGGGCAGAAACACAAGTTAATGCATTACATTTGCATGCCTGTCTGTGATGTGCAGATCTGCCCATAACAGAGACTTTGATGTTTCCCGTCACAAGATGACAGAGGATATGGGAAATATAAGTGTCATTACTTCTCCATGCAAGGGCTGCTAGGAATGCTGCTAAAACAACAGAGTGTGTGATGATATGTGTATGAATACAGTGCATGGATAAAAGCATGGTGTTGACTTTCCCACCTGAGCATGTGACGCAGGGCAGAGCCCAACATGAGGGAGAGGAGGAGGAGGAGAGAGGAAGATCAGTCATTCTCAAACAGGACTTATCAACTGTGTTGATCGCTGCTTCCTGTTGATGGCTATGAGTGTGTGTGTGTTTGTGTGTGTGTGTGTATGTGATAGGTGTGAAGGGGTTGGGGGGGGATGTCTATGTATCTCATGGCTGAAAGGCGGGTGTCCGTTCATCACCACCACTGATTATTCCAAGAGTTCAGCAGGAGATTTGAAAAACTGATGGTTGTAATCTTTTACTTCCAACAGCTGTGCAAGCACAAACAAACCATGGTTTACTTTATCTTTAATCCCTCATATTCTATCATTATAGTCATATATATATGTATAGTTATGTGGCCTAATGGAGCTACAGAGGATCACATCTCAGGTTAACACAGAACAAATGTGTGTGATGGACTTGTCTGTAGTCTAACTGTCTGGGTCTAGGTGGTAGTGGAAGGAGTCTGTAGGCCAGGGGTCTGCGAGGTCTGAGTCTGTTCACTCCAATGAGAGAAGTGAACCTGATCACAGATTATCATCCATTTGCTTCATAGTCATTCAAATAAATATTGGATACATTTTTTACAAGCCACAGATCTTCAGAACATTGTGACATTAAAATGTCATTTTTCAGACGGATCAGGAGAAAATGAACTTAATTCAAGACCTGTTTCTGTCTCAGCAACAAACTCTGAGATCTCACAACACAAATCTCTCTTCTCTCTGTCAGTTCTGGTTTCGCTGCTGCAGACGTTGCTTTCCAGCCACAGAAGTTTAGAGGGACCTTTATGTGCAACCATGAATTAAGAGTTAAATAAATGAAATAAAACTTGTATTTTTTTTTTAAATATTATATAGATAGATATTATTGTTATTATTATTGAACTATTTTTGGAAGGAAACAGAGAGTATCAGACTGATATCATCTTGTACTGGCTTGATCAGATGTAAGCCATCAGATAAAAAACAAGCAGCAAAATCAAGCGTAATTCAAACTGTATAAGTGTTGCATTGTTGTCATGTTTTGAGATGAGGAAGCAATCATGACCACGCCCACTTAAGAGACACAAAGTGTATACCATTTCTTACCACAGTGCTGCTTGTAATGCGTAAATTTTTGTTATAGAGTATCTTTGATAAAAGTATAATAAGCATCTTCAGGTGGGGGGAGATTCTCTATATGGACATTATAATAAAATGTGAGACTGAGTTTGATATTATAAGATAAAAAAAATCAGATAATAATCAGAAAATAATCTATCAAAAGCCAAGTATTGTTGCTGACAGGCCAGTTTTGGCCTGCAGGCCGCCAGTTGCCAACCACTGCTGTAGGTCAAATGAATGACAGGAGTTTGATTATCATAGTAGAGCTGTGATGATCAGTAGATTTATGCGATGAAGTAAATCCCCACAAATCTTTTGCCTCTTGAACTTTGACACTTGAATTTGTTTTACAATAGTAAAGCACCTCCAAAGTGCTGACCTCTGAGAGACTGAATTGAGGAAGCTGTCACAGCCTGTTAGCTGCACTGTCCATTCTTATTTATTTAATATAAACTGCTCCAAACAGAGTAGTCAACAGTACAGAGTTTTTTTTTAATAAACTGTGTGACAGTTAGCTTTTGCTATCTCATAAAGCTATTGTGGTTGGTCCCTATGTCACAAAGTACCCAGGACATGGATGAACTGCGCTATGCCACTTTCTGGTCTAACTGGACCTAAACGCCATTTTTCTATGGACCTGCTTTAATTAACTAATGCTGCACAATCTTGTCAACATGACCTCCCCCTTCTGACCCACATTATTGCCATCCTGCTGGTAGCACACCTGACTGATCCAGCCTGCGACTGTTTCCTCCCTCAGTACTCCCTCAGATGGCTGAACCCTAAGGTACCCTTGAAGATTGTTACTGAGCCTCTTTAGTTTCCCAACGTTCCTGCTCATACTTTCAGATATTTGAATTTAGCAAACTTGTTCATATGAGAAACTTTGCTGATAAACCATCAGGAGACTTATAGTGGAACACTCTTTGTGTCTCTACCTTTAAGTATAAAGGTTGTTCATCAGATAAGTCTTAAATTTTGCAGAGGAAGCAGCTCTTACTGAGGCCATGGTGTCCTGCAGAAAACCTTCATCTCCCTGGCTGCATGACTTCAATAGTTACAGCTCAGCATGAATATCCCCTCACTAAGCAAGGTGGTCCCTTTACCCAGCAAGTGTACTTGAACTGGATTAGATTTTCTGACATATAATCTTACTTGTTGAAGGTTTCCCTCCTGATGCCTACCATTGGAAGGTGTGGGGTGTGGGGTTTCAGACGCTGTTATGCACTCCAACAAGCTTTAAGTCTGAGGGATCTTTGAGAACTTGTCTGTGTTTTTCCTTCACCTAAATCATGATCTGACACTGACTCCTTCACAATGAAAAGCTTATAGTTCCCACAACATGATGCTGCAACCACCGTGCTGTTCTTTGACAAATGTGGTGCACAGCATTAAGACCAAAGAGCTTGATTTTTGTCTCATTAAACCACAGGAACATTTTCCTCTCGCAGTCCTTTAAGTGCACTTTGAATAAATTCCAGTGAGCTGTCATCTGGCTTTTTCTCTGTAGTGGCTCTATGTAGCTGCTCACTCCACAGACTGGCACAAAGCTGCAGAAACACTTTTCCTTCTGGACAGTGATTTTTTTGGTTACCTGACTGATCAGGTAAAAAGAGTCTTCTGGTTTCAGACTTTACTCAGGAATTTACTTTGCTCCTTGAAGATTTTTTATGCCTTTCCCCAGACTCTCCCTCGACACAACTCCTCTCTGGAGGTCTACGTCAAGTTTTACATCAATATGGAGACATTATATAGATATTATAGGAATGATGTGGACATATTCTAAATCACAGTGGATTCTACACATGTATGGAGGCACTGCAATGATGATCAAAGGAACCAGGAAGTATTGAGGGAACAGAACAACATTTTGGGAAATATGCTTTACTTGCTTCCTTTTCATTGTCTCTGCATAAAGTATGGACCAGCAAGAAATTAGCCTAGCTTAACATAAGGAATGGAAGAGGGTAAATAACTAGTCTGGCTCTGTCTAGAGGTCAGTACTCCTAACAACACCTCAAGGTCTGTATCCGACAACCTGCTCTACAGTCGGAGGTGCTGCACAGAAGCACTGGGTGGATGTTTACATTGTTATTCTAGAACATAACTTCCTCTAAAACCAGATTGGTCAGTCAGGTGGTTGGTCAGTTAACTGTTTGGTCAGTCAGCTGGTTGGTCAGTCAGGTGGTTGGTTAGGTGGTTGGTCCGTTAGCTGCATGGTCAGTGAACTGGTTGGTCAGTCAAGTGGTTTGTCAGTGAGGTTGCTGGTCAGTCAGGTGGGTGGTCAGTCAGGTGGTTGGTCAGTCAGGTGGTGGTTGGTCAGTCAGTCAGGTGGATGGTCGGTGAGGTGGGTGGTCAGTCAGGTGGGTGGTCAGTCAGGGGGTTGGTCAGTCAAGGGGTTGGTCAATGAGGTTGTTGGTCAGTCAGGTGGTTGGTCAGTCAGTCAGGTGGATGGTCAGTCAGGTGGGTGGATGGTCAGTGAGGTTGCTGGTCAGGCAGGTGGTTGGTCAGTCAGGTGGTGGTTGGTCAGTCAGTCAGGTGGTTGGTCAGTCAGTCAGGTGGATGGTCAGTCAGGTGGGTGGTTGGTCAGGGAGGTTGCTGGTCAGGCAGGTGGTTGGTCAGTCAGTCAGGTGGATGGTCAGTCAGGTGGGTGGTTGGTCAGGGAGGTTGCTGGTCAGGCAGGTGGTTGGTCAGTCAGTCAGGTGGATGGTCAGTCAGGTGGGTGGTTGGTCAGGGAGGTTGCTGGTCAGGCAGGTGGTTGGTCAGTCAGTCAGGTGGATGGTCAGTCAGGTGGGTGGTTGGTCAGGGAGGTTGCTGGTCAGGCAGGTGGTTGGTCAGTCAGTCAGGTGGATGGTCAGTCAGGTGGGTGGTTGGTCAGGGAGGTTGCTGGTCAGGCAGGTGGTTGGTCAGTCAGTCAGGTGGATGGTCAGTCAGGTGGGTGGTTGGTCAGGGAGGTTGCTGGTCAGGCAGGTGGTTGGTCAGTCAGTCAGGTGGATGGTCGGTGAGGAGGGTGGTCAGTCAGGTGGGTGGTCAGTCAGGGGGTTGATCAGTCAGGTGGTTGGTCAGTCAGGAGGGTGGTCAGTCAGTCAGGTGGTTGGTCAGTCACCACTTTAAATCCAGAATGAAATATATCAGCTGCCTCAGTTTTGTTCACTGCTAATTAGCACATTAGCATTAAACTAAGATGGTGAATATGGAACCTGAGCAATATCTTTGTGACCATGTTAGCTTGCTGATGTTAGCATTTATCTCAGCCAAGTACAACCTCAGAGTGCCATTACTCTGGCGGTAGACTCTTGTTATACTGTTGTCTGGGTGCATATAAACACAGAAAGTGGCAGTAAAAGTATTTCTGATCTTTGTACTTTGGACTAAGCTAATTGTTTGCTCCTGCCTTTAGGTTTTGTGTTAAGCTAGGATAACCAATACCTGACCCTGTGTTCCTAACAAACACAGTTGTCTCATCTCACTTCCGAAAAGAAAGAGAACAAGTGTATTTTCTAAAATGTTGAATATTCCTTTACAGTTCAAGTTAGGGTGTAACAGTCTCAGTTCAGTGATGTGTCTCCCCTGTAATGTTGAATAGTTCCTCAAGTCTTTTCTAATGTGTTATATTCACTATATTCTACTGTTCATGTATGACGACTGACTGTAGCACCATGGACACCTGCCACTGTGTGGTCAGTGTTTAGTACTGTAGTGTGAAGTGTCAGTGTGGATGTCCCCATTCAGTTGTTGTCTGTTGGCTTGCTAACCAAACTAGCTTTCTGTGCTGTCTGCTGAGCACATGCTGCTAATTCTCTGCACCTACACCACTCATGCTACATCTGATTATTTGTTGCAAAAATAGTAGTTAAATATGAATTAGTCATTGAAATGATTTACTCCATGTAACTCTGCTGCATGCCTGAATCTGAGCCAACGCTTGACTTCAGTAGTGCATGAACTGGCATGAACACAAGTTGTCTGTGCTCTGTTCTGCTGAATGTGTTTCTGCTTTCAGTTTTTACATATAGTCGTTTGTGCTGCCTGACGACTAAATATGTATTTTTCTTTATGCACCCTGGTGTTGTTTTAGAAGAAGGTTCAGGTGTGTACAGGTGACACAGTTGCTCTGGTGAAGGGGACCTCTTTATTTCTCCACTCTCTGTCCTCTCTTTCCCACATGTATGTGTCTCCTACACTGTGGTGCACCACTTCCTCCGCCTCCCCCCTCCTCCTCTCTGTGCACCTCCTGCGCTCCTCTTCAGCCAACACACCTGCCATCCAAGAAGAGAAGGGCGCTTGCTTCCGTTTGGTCAGCTCAGGGAGGCAGTGTTTGCACCCGGTTTCTGCCCACCTGAGCAAACAGCTCTGCTGCTGCAGTGTGGGCAAAGCCTGGGGCCCTCGTTGTGACAAATGCCCCTCTCCAGGAACAGGTAAGGCCCCCTGCCATGTCAGACATTTATCTGGTCTCAGTGAGAACTAAAGCCCCCAAATATTTTCTCTCTCACTTGTGTGAAGAAAGCTTCATACCAAACACTAAATCAGCAGGTTTCTACCTCAGTGATCTGAAAGAGTTGAGGTTCTGTGAACCAGTGTCCTGCAGGACTTATTTCCTCCTTCGACAGTAGAGACATCAAGCACCACTTATCTAGTTTGTTAAGTACTGTAAGAGTTTTTAGTCATGTGAGCAGCACGGCCACCAGCAGGTTTTTACTGATCTGCTGAAACATCTCAACATCTTCCTGATGAACAGCACTTAACTTGGTGCAGACACTTCTCAACAACGTATCATAATGACTGATGATCCATGATGAGGTTTACGTTTGTGCTTTTGATTGAAATATTTTGACAACTACTGGAAAGACAGACATTAAATTTTGTTCACACATTCACATCTCAAACAGTATTGGATGGGTTGTAATAACACTGCTCCTCTTTTTACTTTTCATCTTTTCATCTGACACAAAACTCAGCTCAAATTTTTAAATTGTCCAATATTTTATAACTGAACATGTGTAAAACTTCAGTTGTACTTTGTGAGCATCTGTGTATGAATGCCTATGGCTTGTCCCTGTCCTCATATATGACCCATAGGAGCATACCATTGTCAGGCACACTAGTCATCATGGTAATAATAATACAACCCATAGGTGTGTACCTGTGGCAGGCATGCTACACGTTTGTCATCATGGTAGCAATAATAAACACAGGTTATGTTTAGGGACAACACTACTTGGTCAGGTTCAGGAAAAGATGGCAGTGATAGTTTGTTTTAAAATAAGGCTTTTGTTTACATTAGAGAACCTTCATCGTCATGGTTACGACAATAAACGTTGTTAAGGTTGTGGAGCATCTGTGGTTAAAAGAAAGTTGAACTCCTTCTATACAGGAGAACAGCGTCCTAACATGCTAAACTATGATAGTAAACATTATAGCTGCTAAACATGTTTCAGTATGTTAGAGTGCTGGCGTTAGCATAAAACATGAACAACATGAAATTGTTGTTTTTATGAATGAATTTTGGTATATTTGGTATTCCATCACATGGAAAAATAATATTTTGTCATGGGATAATATTCTCATGAGTAACAATATACACATAATCTAGACATCTGAACAATTATCTGATCAGTGTTATTTTAAAATGAATGTGAATTTGAATTAAATAATGGAGAGACACAATATACAGATGGTTACCCTCAGACTGAAGAGGAGGGTTTCACTGTGGTGTAGAGCTTTTCTCATATTGATAAAGTCAGGTGGAAGTATCCATAAAATATTGTTTCAAACCTGCTAAATGTTTAGCATGAACTAAGACACTAACCTTAAGACATGAGGATGTAACTATAACCTTTGAAACATGGAAGAATAAACCTTTCTAACAAACAGAAACTGTCTGCAGCACTGTTCCCTGCAACAAGTTAGTTTCATCTCTCAAAACTGTCTGAATAAAAGATAATAAAAAATACTACTCCCTCTCTTTTATTCTGACACTGTGACTCTGACTATGGGTTTAGCAGCTTGGCTGAGTAATAGAATTTAGCATTTAGCTCTTTACACATTTACACAGTTACTTTACATGCTGTTTACACACTTAACTTTACTGCTTTCCTGTTTATCTTTATTTCCACACAGCTGTGTGATGTGTCAGTACAGTTCAGCCTGATAGTTGTCGTTAATTTGAGCCATTTGCAGTCAGGTGCCTCCCTAGGTCACCATACATTTCAATGGATTTTAAAAGGTTTGGCTATGTCTTCTTTTAAACCTTGTATTTAGTAACTAACGTGCCTTGTGGAGTTTCAGGTGGATTATACATGTTGGTTTAGCTGTGTTTTTATTCTTCTGTGTGGTGAACAGAACATACAGACATCAAGGTGAAACTGCTTAACTGACATGACCGACCGTAAGCATTGTCAGAGATCATCATACATTATATTCCATAACCATATTAATATAACCAGGGAGACATGTTGGGGTGTTTGAAGAGTTCATTGGTGATATAATAACTCAGCTGTACCCTGCACCTGTCTGTGAGGGAGGAGTGGACCATTGATAACCAGGCGTTTTCCTTTTAGCCTTTTCTCCAGGTCCCGTATAAACTCTTGTTTAAAAACTTAGCGCTGATCAGTCGGGGTCTCTTGGGCTCTGTGGTGGAGTCAGTCGTCTCCTTTCAGTTGGTTCTTTTCCTCCTGCACCTGTTTACGCTGCTATGTGAAGTTCTTGTTTCAGAGAGATTTTTACCTTTGTCTCTGTTTTCATTTTCACTGATTTCCTTTATTCTGGTAAAAATAAGATCATCTCTGGTCAGTCTAGTTTGGAGATCCAGCAACCCTTCCTTCAACCCCTTTTTTCCAGCGTTCAGGCTGCAGTGTTCTTATGTAGCTGTTGACAGTTTTATCTGTGGACCATTTCCTTCAGCTATGAAACTTCAGAGAGAGGTGTATCTTGAATGTCTGGTTTGTCTTTCTAGAGGCTAAAACGTATCTTCAAGTCCTCCAACCTAAAATCCCCGTCCTTAGATATGACCCATAGAACAGTACCTGCTGCAGGTGTACTGGACGTTCCCCGTCATGGTTATAGTTATAAACGTGGTTAAGATTGTGGAGCATCAAAGAAACAACACTGACTATAGGTTTCAAATGAGAGATGAACAGTATGTTTAAGTAGTCCTGTATTTTATCGATCTCTACGTCACCTGACTTCCTCCTTTTCTCTGCCATAATTACTACTAGAGGTCACCTAACAACAAAAGGTAACTATAGGTCGTAATGACATGCTTACACAGAGGAGGGACGGTGTTTCACAGTTGCACAGAACATATTGTGTCTTTGTGTGTTGATGAAAACAAGCCAAGCTTTCCATTATGAAAGAGCATGTAGTCTGGGAACAAGCATGAGCCTGAACTCTGTGCACCACTAACACAGTCTCTCCAGATACTTGAAGTAGAAATGATTGTTTCAGATACTCCAGGTTCTGTGTGTTGCCAGTTCCCAGAGATCTGCCAGCACTAAAGTAGGTCATTATGACTGTAAGCGCTGGAGTCACTGCTCAGTTCATTCAAGTTATTGATCAGAGATTCACAGCAGTGCCATTTGGTTCAGATATTGACCCTAACTTTCCTGTATAATCAGATCATTGTTTCACTGTTTGTCCAACAGACAGGACATTGTTTCTGATGCAAATACTTCTCTGTTAGTTTCATTCTTCCCCTTCAGAATGATCCACTGTGCCAAAAAGCATTAGAGCAGCACTGAGTCGTTGCTCTGAGTCAAACTGAAGCTCCCACCAACAAAGGCCTGAACCCAGCCTGAAACCTGAGTAACACATTTTATAGAGAGACTTAATCCACTTTTTTGAGTTGGTAAATTATATGTGGTCACATTATTACATTATCTATTCATCTCGCTCTGATTTTATACTTTGATTTATAATAGAAGTTATTATTTATTTCCAGAGAAAATCCAGTAATTCCATCCTTTGGACCCCAAAAACTCTGTGACAGGTTCTGGAGTATGACCTGCCCTAAGACACGCCACCCCCGAATTACAAGACAACATCACATTTATCCCAAACCAAATAAAACTTAGCAGTGTGGATAGAAAGACTGAGCGTGCAACTGAGAGTAACAGTTGTAGACATACTAGTTCTTGAAACATGAGACCTTACAGGCTGATATAGATGTTAAAACAGGTTACATGTGTAACTGTGATTCTGTAACCTCCAGGTGACAGTCAGATGTTATATCTGCATATTGAAATGTTTCAAAATGGCTGAGATGCATCAGTTAGACAGAGCAGAGACAGAGGAACACTGGAGCAATGATCTGACAGGGCTGTGATGGGGCTTGGCTTGGTTGATATCCAGAATTTAATATCTCGATACAGTCCAACCCAAATATTATGATATACAATATTATTATGATGCTGCCACTAAACAGCAGTTCAAAGTTTTATTTGTCACATGCCAAGGTACAATGAACAGTAAGCAAAGCTGAGATGAGGGTTGGACTCGGAAGCAGGGCAGACTGTGCAAATTAAAATGAAAACGCATATGGTGGGAAATATCATGATATTAGATTCCAGGCACAAGCCTGGGTTGGATTTGTGGAAGGGACATGTTCAACGTCTTTAATGAACACATCACAAACCAACACCTGCCACAAAGCAGAGGCTGTTCAATGCCACCAATACTTACTGTAAAGTTTTTATACAGGAAGAACATGTCTGTCTGTAAATAAATAAGCAGTGGGTTTTCTTGTTCTTTAGAAAAGAGTAGAAGAAGACATTTGAAACTAGAGCCTGACCATTTAAAACCGTGCGTTACATCACAAACAGAGAACCATCATCAGCATATGGGCTGATTTTATGTCAGGATCCCCAAGCTGTTCTCCACTGTACATCCCCATGATGATGAGCCACACTCGTCTTCAACCCTGAACCATCTAAGTCATTTCAGGTTCATCAGCAGCAGTGTGGGAGGGGGGGGTTTGCTTCGCTTGTCAAGACACTGTTTTCTGCCTTTCCCACAAAGTGGACTTTTGAAAACTTTAAGGAGACTGTTATAGAACTAATTAAGTGATGTGAGTTCATCTCTCCATGGGAATTGATTTTTTTTATTGTATTTATTCATTGCATTCTCGATTTATATATGATTTGTTATGGTTTTTTTTTTCAAAAATCATTATCTTAATGATGCCTTTATCTCATCACAGGAGTTGTGTTAAAAATGAGTTGTATATACAGGTGTAAGAGTGGACAGGTGGAGAAGACGCAGCACTGTGATTTTGTTTATTGGTTGAAAGAGATGTACAGAGGTAAAGCACTCAGGTTAATTCTGGAATGTGTGCACATATTCCACCAAAGGTTCTGTTTGAGTACCTATTATGTGCAAGTCAAAATGTGTAACAAAAAATGTATAATATCAAAAAGTACGTTGTCTTTGCTTTAAATTTTCACTGATAAGCACTTGTGTTTTTCACTATCATTTAGCTAAGTTCAAAGAGATCTGTCCTGGTGGAATGGGCTACACTGTTCTACCAAATCCACCTGTCAATAAGCCAGTCACCGTTTATCAGGAGCCCTCCCACCTGCCCCCTCCCCAGCCCCTGCCAACACCTGAGCGACCAGTGGAGGCCTTTGGGAAACCAGAGGAGATCATACCAGGTGAGCCTCTACTTGTAACATTACCAGTACATATTCCACCTGATTAGCTTGACTTCATGTGTTTAACATGGTGAAAACTGTTGCTTAGCACCAGGTAGATGTTTAGACTATAGTTTAATAAGTTCACATGACCTATAACTTTGGTACAGTTTAATAAACTTGTCCCTGTCAGGGCTGTGATGGATACAAGGTCAGTCCAACAGCCTGAGGAACCTCTTCCAGCTTGTCCTGGGTATCCCTGGGAACTCCAGTGTCTCTTTCAGGCCCAGAAAATTTACGTCTACTGGGTCATCTCAGTGCAGAGGATTGAATCACAGCAGCGGATACTCCTCTGTCTTTTTTCTTCATGACTCCACATAGCAGACATATTCTCATCAGGGCTTGGTCTTTTGGTCTTCAAACCAAACCCTACTTTAGATCTTCTTCACAGTGTTTGAAAGGTTAAAGTTAAATATCCTGGGGCGTCGAGTAGCTCAGTTGGATGAGCATCCGCCCCATGTGTAGAGGCTACAGTCCCGCATCGGACAGCCCTTAGCTGCAGGTCATTCCCCCTCTCTCTGCCTGTCTCTCTCTACTTCATTATCAATAAAGACACAAAAAGCCTGAAAAAAAAAAAAAGTTAAATATCCTGTGAGGCCAGCTCATGATAAATCCTCCTCATTAAGCTGCCAGCAGGAGGATTGTTAAGGTTTGACTAGTTTACAGTGAACTGCAGTAATCCAGTATTGAGGAAAGTGGTGCAAAGCAGTCTGTCAGTATCAGCTGAGCCACAGATACAGCTGACCTTAGAGTTAAAAAAAAATACTACATATGAGTTGCTCCTGCTACTCAGTGAAGACAAGCATTAGTTTCATTGTTGATAACCTTATTGTAATTAATCAGTTAGTAGTCTATAAAATAACAGAACTAGCTTTGTTTTCAAATAACTTTCTCTGTCCGACCATCAGAACCTACAGATAAAGTGTTTGTCCTCCAGTGATGTATTGATTGATTCATTGATTAATTAGTCAACTATGTCAGGGTTCGAAGGTAACTAGACACAAACGTAGACAACACAAAGAGGTGGGTGCACAGAGGGAGCTTTAGTAACCATGAAAAGTCCAAAAACCAAGAAAGGTGATGAAGGCAGAAAAATCTAAATCAAGGTAATCCAGACCAAGATAATCTAAATCAAAGTAATGCTAAACAGGAAATAAAGAAAAGTGCAAACATAAAGTCCTTACAGGGGCAGACCATGACAAACTACCTGTAGTGGCCCTGCAGCAGTGGGTGGAGTCAGGCTGGTGTTCCTGTTTGTCCAGCCTCATGTGATCATGAGATTAACATGTGATTCATGTTCATCACTGTGAGGCTGCATTAACTTCAACCTGCTTCAGAAAGGAGCAGAAAGCTACAGTGTAATTCTGCTGATCACAGAATTTAGCATTAGATATTAAGACATCATCATCTCTCCTCAGCTGTGTCATCTGCCAAACTGTGAAGTGACTGAACTGTCGAAGAAATCTGTTTTTGAACAATTGCATTGAGCCAGTGCAGGAGGAGACGTGTTTGATGTTTTCTGTGTGGTCTTTATTTATCACAGCGTCAGTATCCCAGTTAAAAATGAACACCAGTCTCACTTCTGTAAATCACAGCTCTGAAGGCAACAGTAGAGATCCTGATGTTTGGTCCTCCATCATGTGATCAAGACCCAGATCTTAAAGAAACATCCGTCTTGTGAGATTTGTTTGTAGAGGACAAGGATTAAAGTGCTTTGGCTCACTTCACATTCCCTTCAAACAGCCCAGCCCACAGCCCTTCAAAAGAGGGGGGGAGGGGGGGGGGACCTGGTTATGGGAGGGAGAGGAGCTTCACCCTCTCCTCTTATTATTCAGTACATGCTTGGCAGACATCAAGGGAAGGAGAACTCTTGCAGCATCTTAGCCAAAGCCAGACAGAGTGAGTCCAAATGACTGCTGAGCTTCTCTGGAGCAGAGGAGAGCAGAGTTTTCCAGGCCTGAAAAACACAATCTGACAGAAATCCACCACCCAGACCCTGCGTAGATTAGTGTCTGGATAAAGGCAGAATGTAATGTGGCGCCTGGCGGCCGCACAGACTGGCACTGAGGCCCAGCAGAGAGCTGTTCAGGGTGGGAGGAAGAGGAGGATTTTTCTTTTTTTTTTTTTATAAATCCTCGGTGTTGATATATTTCAGACTTAATGTTTATGACCTTTTCACAACATGGAAACATGGGCCTGTGAGCGATTACAGGGCATTTAGCAAGAGGTATTAATGCAATAAAGGTGTTTCACATGGCTGAGATTAATTACATATGAGCATGTCTTTGTGTTTAATCCACTGATCATGGAGGGCGTGGCTTCTTTGTGATTACAGAATCATTATTTTATGATTTTGCAAGATGTCTCCTGAGCTGTTGTGACTCAGATATGTTAGTGAGCCAGCGACTGTACTGGCTGACATGTTCATTACGAGGAGCACAGGCAGTGAAGTTTATTATTACTGTTCTGCTTCCTCCAGCACTCACCAGAGCACCGAGTCTGTGGTTGAAATAAATGCACTGTTTCCACAGTTTAACTAATGTTTGCTGCAAACTGCTGCGTCCAGATGTTTCAGGAAGAGACCCTTCATAAAATGAATCTATATATTCATGAGACATTTTTACAAAAGAACCAGTGGAGCTGGGCTGAGAACCGGAGACAAACAAAACATGTTTGTTCTGGTTCAGTATTATTGAAGCGAATTGAAGGACATTGAAAATAGACAATAGAAAGACAGTAGATGATAAAATATGTAAATGAAAATAAAAACAGAAACCAGTAAAAATGGTAAAATATGAGAGACAAGAATGAGAGTTAAATAAATAGGTTTTCAGCTGTTGATTGAATTGTTTCTTAAAACATTAAAGGTCCATATAGTATAAAGGTAGATGTCCATGTGTTGTTTGATTATAGATCAGGTCTAGGTTCTATATTAATACTGTGAAAGTATCAAAGTGTTCAGTCCACAGAGAAATGCACACAGCCTGTATTAAAAACTGAGTCTTAAAACCAGCCGCCAGGACTTCTGGAACTTTGTGATGTCACAACAAAGCAGTCACAAGCCCCGCCCACCTGGACCCACCATCCAACCTTGCAGGATTTGGTTTCTCTGAGTATTTACCTGAAATCTGCTGTATTTACATTGAATCACTCAGTTACCCAATCAGAAGAGGGGCTCAAAGCCTCCTCTGATTGGCTCACTGACCTGTTGTTACTAGAACTCCAGGGAGAAGCCAGAGAAAGGAGATGTAAAACTACGCTGAGGTGGTTTTGGTTCTTAAAACCAAAAATATAACTTCTAATGCATCAACACTTCGGGTAAAACACAGGAGAAGAGGAAAATCTGGGACGTACTTGTCATGACCAGTACATTCAAGCTCTGATGTCCAGTGTCATGTCACAAACCTCCACTTTTGTTTCTGTGTTTCCTTTGGTCAGTAGCAACAGCTGCACCAGATCAGGTAGGTTGGTGCTTAAAAGAGCTAAACTGCAGCAGCATGCTCACACTGAGGGGCTGCACAATCACCTTTGCATGAAGTCAGCAACATTGCTGCATGACTGCGGCTGGTCAGCGCAGATCAGTGAGTCACTGTGTACACCTTTAATGTGTGTATCTACACGTAAGTACCAAAAACAGACCTAGACCGAAAACCTGGACTGTGGTCCAAACTGGACCAGGACAGGCGGTCTTTGCTTCCTGGCTTGCTCGCTGAGCTGTTCGCTCTTGCTCTGTTATTAAACTTCAGTCAGTTGCCATGCAAGCTAAATGCTAATCTGCTTCCCAGCACAACATCTGTGTTGCATGTCAGATGCAGTTTGCAAAGCTTCAATGATCACTGTTGGACTGAAACATACGGTGCTGTGTTGACCCTTTGCTGTTGCTGTGTGTCTTGTCATTGAAGGAGCTGCTAGTTCCTGTGTTTAATAATAGGCCAGTAGTTGAACCTATCCTGCCCCAGCTGTCTCCGGGGGTGTCCACTGTCAAGATGGAGGCAGCCTACCCAGGTGTCTGTTTCTCTACCCTTTATACTCTGTGCTACAGTGGCCAGTGTAGGACATCTCAGAGTGTCAGTATCTGCTGTAAATGGGTTCAGTTATATATGGTGGCCCTGCAACATACTGCAACGTAAGAAAACACTTACAAATAGACAAAAGACCAACACATTCAGAAAACATCTTGAAAACAGTTTGACAACACGTGCTGCAAATACTCAAAAGTGATGAACCTGGCTAAGACGCACTTGCATGGATATATTATAAAACATCATGTGCACTTGTGCAATGTTTTTAACTTCAAAAGTCACAAATCGTTGAACAAGTGCGTCCCAGCCAGGTTCATCACTTAGTGTCTCCCCTGGAAACACTTCTGTTGTGTTGTCAGTATTTGCAGCTCATGAGTTGTCAAATTGATGTTTTCTGTAGTTCTTTGTGTTTTGTCTGTTTGAATGTGTTTTCTTAAGATGCAGTGTGCTGAGCTCTCAGGGCCACAGCAGTTACAGTTTGTCAGGTAGAGGTGTACTGTAATGCTAATGTTAGAATGCTGAAATAATTGAAGCAAATGTGTTGGTAAAACAAACATGCTAATGTTAAGCTGAGGGACAGCTCAGACTGCAGAGTCTGATGACCTCAGTAGTAGTAGAAGAAGAAGTTATTAATATATTCATCCACTGATTTCTTTACTTTTTGTACCACGTTCTTCTTCCAGTGTTTTATCATTTTAAGCCACAAATAAATCTTAAGTCTTAACCTCAAACAGGCCATAGGACAAGCAAGAACATCCTCACAATGATGGCTTTGAACAAAACATACGACCATAGAGAGACACATGCACAAACATAAGTACACTATCAGTGTAAAATTCAAGTTGTACTGCAGAAAACTTGAGGTAGTGCAAAGGTAATAGCATGATAATGTGCATGAGTGTAAGTTCAGTGTAAATTTCACAGATACAGTTAAATGTATAGAACTTTATTTCAAGAATAAGGCCATAATTCAAGAGAAAAAAGTCATAAGATAATGAGAAAAAAGTTGTAACTTGTGGTTGTGTGTTATTTTAGAGAGGAAATATCAGAAGCTTTAAAATAAGGAATGTGGAGCGTCCTGTGCAGTTCAACTTTAGGTTTCACTAATAAGGACATACTTCATCTTTTGGCTCATCATCATCATCGTCATCATCATCATCATCATCATCATCAGGACATTGAAGAGATTGTGAGGAAACTGAGTCTGTTCTATTTTTAGACAGACAAACAGCAGCTGACAGTGACTGTCCTTTATCCTGTTTGATTGGTTGTAATAGTCACAAAAATGATTTTTCTCTTGAAGTTTTACATTTTTAATTCTTATAATATTATGACTTTTATGACTATTATGACTCTTGAAATTTCAGACTCAATGTGGCCCTAATACTCCATCATAGTGATCTAGAACATCTGGAGCTCAGTTTTGGAAGAAGAACCATTTATTTATGGTGGAGTTGAGTCAGAGGAGAAAAGCTGGGGGTATATTGCCTGTTAGTGTTCCTTGGGTCCTTTGCAGCCGCCTCACCTCACTGGTATCACTGAGATGGGGACCAATGATGTTCTGGGTGGTTTCAGTCACGCTGCAGAGCCATGTTGCTCTTCTGTAACAGTTTACAAGAACTGCCGCTGTTGACATCAGCTGTATCCAGGATGGATGTGGTTGATGTCCTGTGAGGCTGATTCCCCAGGAACCTCAAACTGTTCACCTGCTCCAGCTCGGGATTCTTACTCTCCTCTCGTTTATAATCCAGCTGATGACGGTGGTGTCACCCACAAACTTCACAGCAGAGTTATCTCCATGTCAGATGTTCAAGGGGAACAAGTCGGGCCGGGTACACAGCCCTGAGCTGCTCTGTTGTTCAGCAGGTGTGACCACCAATCTGAACTGGTGAGGAAGTGTCATGTCCAGCTGCAGGGTGTGGTTCTTCTCTATGCAGAGCTTAGCAGTAGATATGGCACATATGAATTGATTGATTGCAAGCTAACTTTGGTTTTCTGGTAGGAGGGGCCTCCAGTATAAAACCAGGGTAGAGACAGTCCTGCAGCTGGGACCCTTGAAGGCAGCAGCTGTAGGAGCTCTATAGACAGGGGCCTAGTGTTGGTCATTTTTTGTGTTACCTAATGATAATTTGTAAAAAGTTTTGTACTTAGTTTTTTTTTTTTTGCACTACTGAACTTTGCAGCTGACTGGTAACCACAATAAAAAGCACCAGGTGAAGGTTTTGAAGTCCAAGCCTCCTTCCACCACTGGGCCAAATCTTACTTTTGATCTTTGCATAGTTGCTTTCCATGCTGCAAGTCAGCTGTCTGTTTGCCCAACACTTCAAGGTCCTCTGAGAATGGTGTGGATTGGTTTGCTGACCTTTGACCTTTCAGCTGGCACAGTCAGTTAGAAAAAGATCAGAAACTGGCATCATCAGTCAGCCAGAAAAAAACAAGCTGTGGTTTAATACACTTATTTAGAGACAATCGCTTTGTATGTGGGTGAAGAGTTAAACATGATTGGTGTTGTTTTCTGTCATTACCGGCACACAATAAATCTTGAGATAGGTTGGACCAGGAAGGATCCAATGTGGCCCGGGATGCATTTCTCAGCCTCATTTGAAGTAGACTTTGAAACGGGACAGTCTAGTTGCACCGCTGTAACGCAATTGGTCTTCAAATGCAGCGTCTGAATTGGGACACAGCTATAGACAGCTGCATTTCTTTGTGTTTTTAGAATAGCATCTATCTCCACATACTGGCTGTTGAGCTCTAGGTTCTCCTCTCTGTAATGAATGTACACCACCTCCTCTGGATGAACATGAATGCAGAGGAGGGTAAGAGCAGACCTGTTGATCAGTCACTGCAGAAATTGGCGCCTGGTTTTGGAGAGTAGCGTAACCTGCAGTGCAGATAGAGACTACACCTGTCCTAATGTCAAAAAGGATTGATTGTATTAACAGCACCTCTGTTAGAGCAGAGTGGTCGCCAGTTTAATGACCTCTGTACTTTAATGTGTGAGTGAGAGAGTTTCTGCACAAACATGAGATTGAGAGAAAGTGAATAATCATATCTTATATAATAAGACGCTGAGCTGTTTCTGTTTCAATAATACGGTGTGGTCTGCTAAAGATGTAGTGATGAAGAGGTAATCTATAATCAATGTTGTGTTTGATCAAATGAATGATAAATTGTGTATTGACACTGAATGTCTGTTACTGTGTGTTTTGCTCCGGTAGAGGTTGTTGAGAGGAGCTCTCCACCTGCACCAGTGGAGATCCTCCCATCGAACGCTGGCCAGGACATCGCCCCCACCCAGGCAACCGGTAAAAGTCTTTATTTTCTTTTTTGTTAATGTTGTTTTGTCCTCTTCCTGTCTGTCTGGATGAAGTAACAGCAGCTTTTTGTAAATCTAAGTATGTGCAAAGGTTCTTTGTCACTCTAGCTTCTAACTAGTGATTTATTTAAGGAAGTTCTACCATTAAAACTGAAGAACTATCACACCTTGTAAAGACCTTGCGATCATGCTAAGCTAGCTGACGTCATCTACTAAGTTTAGTTAGTATTTTGTATTATTAGCATTCTTGTAATTTGAGGTATGTCAGTGTTTTTGTAAACTTTAATTTAGTCTTTAATAAACATAAACAGCATTTGTCAGATGTGTTGACTCATGGGCACAGGAAACATTGCAGATGTGGGTGGGACAATCTGATGTCCCACCCATAATGTAATTTCCTGTGTCCTGATGCCTATACTAGCTAACTCACTGGGCTATACTAGTGTGAGAAAAATGATGGGTCCATTTTGTGATTTTATCCAGAGGAAGTGGTTTGTACAACAGTTCACACACTTTGGTAGCAGGGACAAGAGTAAATGGTGTAAATGTACAGATCTAAAACAGCTGCAATGCTCCGCTCTCTCTCCAGACTCCAAACATGTTTACGCTTTATGTGATTACCTTCTCCCTCCCTGCAGTCAGCTGTTTGAGGCCACTTTCTGGTTCATGCGGTGAACTAGTGGTATTTCACATCAAGCAGTTCACTTGTGGTACATTAATAGTGTGCTGTGTGTCCTTGTGGCTCTGTATAATATTTAGTGAGACCAGGTTTTAGTTTTTAAACTGCTGCTGCATTTATCCTCTCTCTCTCTCTCTCTCTCTCTCTCTCTCTCCAGATATTGATGAGTGTCAGATCATCCCTTATATCTGTGGCCAGCAGGGCATCTGCTACAACACAGCTTACGGCTTTATCTGCCAATGTCAAAAGGGATACTCCATGTCTGATGACCATGCCACCTGTGTAGGTGAGGAGTCCAGTGGTCAAAGTCTTTCATTGAGGTCAAAGGTCATCTTCTGCATGTCTATGTCAGCAGGTTAGCCTCACTTTGTGTCAGGAACCAGACCTTACTGTCTACACTGATGAAGACATACACTCATGATGGAGCTGTGTATCTTTATGCTGGGAGAAACTGGGGAGAAACTGGATGGCAGTCAAACTGGGTTTGACCGAGACTGAGTGTAGTGAGTGGAAACCTGTCTGTGTGACATTGGAATGAATAGGGTGCCATGTTGGAACGTGGTCTCCAGATCTTTTCACACATCCAACATAATTAAACTACTAACAACATTAAAACAAAGGCCTTCATTTACCTCTGTCTCCGCCTTTTATGTTCATGTATGTTCCTTATTACACACACCTGGGGACATGACCAGCCACAGTCACATGCTGAGTCACAGCATTGTTGAGTTGCGAACTCATGTTGACCTGTGTCGTGCTCTCGTTGTTTGTCCAGATGTAGATGAGTGTGTGAAGACTCCATCTTTGTGCTCTGGTGGTGAGTGCCAGAACACAGAGGGCAGCTTCCTGTGTGTGTGTCCCAGAGGATTCCTCGTCGACGAGGAGGGGACCAGCTGTGTTGGTAATTATTAAACACACACACACTTTCTTATATATACACACACACACACACCTGACTATGACACACTTGTTGTTCAATGCTTTGAGACTTTTGAAGTTAACAACAGCCTGGTGCGTCACTTTTTAGTGTCCCCTGGAAACACTCCTGTGGTGTTGTGAGTATCTGCAGCTCATGTGTTGTCAAACTGATGAAGATGTTTTCTGAAGTTGTTTGTGTTTAATCTGTTGAGCTCTCAGGGACGCTGTAGTGGAGATACCGAACCTTTTCCGGGCTGTTTGTGGATGTATGGACATAAACATGTAGAGGCACACACACAACAGAAAGCATTAGGACACTGTTTCCTCTGGTCACTCGGTCAAACATTTGGACAAAAAGTTTCTGCACACTAAGTGCTCACTAATAGAGTCATAAGTCTGAGGAATGTTGGACGACACCAGCGACCACACTGTTACCAGCATGTGCACCACCCTCCACCCTGCTTCACTCCCTTATTGGGATATAAATATGAGGCACTCTGTCATTACGTGGTTTCCTGCTTTTCCCACCCACCAAAATGATACTGAATTAGGGCTGTGAGGGCAAACAGGCCTGATGGTTATTTCCCCAGAGCTGCAGTAAAAACCTCCTCCCCTCAGCTGTGGAGGATGAGGGATCAGATTATGACTCTCTCAGAGGTTTATTTGCAACCAAGGTATCTATTAATAAGACAAATACAAAAACAGGCTGAGGAGCAGGAGTTTTTAGACAGTGCTAAAAATGAGTTATTACACTGTGGTGTAAAGTCGTCCAGATGTTCCTCCCGTACATCTCTGACTGCGGAACCTGTCTCTGCTGCTGTTATTAGATACAGTGTGAAAGGCTCTGTTCAGGCAGAGCTTCAGGGTTACAGCTGGAGATAAAACAGATTCACTGCAGTTATCAAGAAAACTCAGACACACTGATCTCAAATCACCACCAACCACGAACACACAGAGCATCCCTCCTAACATTTACCCTACATTCAGAAACAATGTACCGATCTATGTGACCACAAACCAGGTCCATGAGCTGTGATGTGCATCATGAACACCTGTCTGTGTGTTTGTGTGTGATCATATTGTTTCTAATATCTTTTCAGATATTGATGAATGTGTGAACAGCACTGTGTGTCCTTCTGGCATCTGCTTCAACGTGCCGGGGAGTTACGACTGTGGCTCCTGTCCTGATGGCTTCATGGCGCAGGGAGGCCAGTGTGTAGGTAGGTCTGACACTGTGTGTGTGTGTGTGTGTGTGTGTGTGTGTGTGTGTGTGTGTGTGTGTGTGTGTTTGTGTGTACAGTGGCTTCAGAGAGGATTCAGACTCCTTCACTTTATTATGTTGTAGATTGAATTCAGCAGCAGTTCCAGCTTCAGTCTCAAGCTCTGAACCTGGATCTGGTCAGTTTATCTCAGTCTTCCTGACAGATCCTCTCAGACGCAGACTGGACAGGAAGTGTCTGTGAACTGTCCTCTTCAGGTCTCTCCACAGATGGGGTGGAGGTTGGGGTTCAGGTCTGGTCTGGTCCTGAAGACTCTCCAGTGTTGTCTTGGCTGTCTCAGGCCTCCTGGACTCTGGATCAGGTTTTCTTCCAGGACCTCTTTGTATTTGGCTGCATTCATCCTTCATCAGGTCTGACCAGTCTCCGTGTAGCCCAGTTTTCCTCTCAGCTTCTCTGTCTCGTCTCTCCACCATGAAGACCTGATTGATGACAAGATGCCGAGATGCTCGTCTTTCCAGCAGCTTTTCCATCTCTGCAGAGGACTTATGAAGCTCCTCCCTGACCCAGGTCCTTCTTACCTGGCCCCTCAGTTTGTCTGGACACCAACTGTAGAAGAGTCCTGGTTCCTGACTTGTTCCTCTTCACAGTTCTTGTTCCCACTGTTCTCCATGGAACACTTAGAGCTTTTTGTCCTGATCTATGTCTCGCCACAGTTTGATCACAGAGGTCTACAGAGATTTCACTGGACTTCATGGTCTTTGTCCTGACATGCAATCTGTGTCCCAACTCAGAGTCTCATCCTTCAGAGGCTGCATCTGAAAACCAATTGCGTCACAGCAGCGCAACTATTTATTGGTGTCCCATTTCAAAGGCTCCTTCAAATATGTTCCTCTTTTCCTGGACAACGAAGAATCCAACAGGTGGATCCTTCATGGTCCAACCTATCCCAAGGTTCATTGTGTCCTGCTAATGAAAATAATATGGCAGCAAACAACACTGACAGAGAGCCTGAGGATTACACTGTTAAATGTAAGAATTGGGTTTCAGCTGTTAAAACCAAGGGTCTTAAAACCTCAAGTTTATGTGAAGAAAAGAAGTTATGTGTTGTCAAGGTTGCTAAGCAACAGTGATGCAAAGAGAAAATCCCCTGTAGACACAACCATCTCATTTCAGTTCGGTCTATGACGGCTACAAGGGGCCACACCTTCATAGACCACGTCCTCTGAAGGATGCGGCCCCTGAACTGGGATACAGCTACAGTGTGAACTGTGGGACCTTATAAACACAGGTGTGCTTTGTTCAATCAATTCGGTTCACCACAGGTGGACTCCGGGTCAAGTAAAGCAAACAGGAAGCAGCTCACCACAGTGTGGAGCCACAGTGAAGAGTCTAGGGACTTTTGTAAATGACATTTTTCACTTTGTCTTTATGGATCATTGAGTGAAGACTGATGGAAAATGGCAGTTTCATACATTTAAAATTAAATCTACAACATAATAAAGTGAAGCGGTCTGACTGGAACCTTGCTCCTTTAATTTAAATCATGACTGTCTCTTAAAACTAAGTTGGACTTGATGTAGGAGAATTAAACAAATGCATAAATCAGATCTATACAGATAATGAGCAGAACAGACCTGGACCTGGTCTCTCCTGCACAAACATCACACTGAGTCATAACTCAGTCAGACACACAGCAGGTCCACTTCCTGCATCATCTGGGATGGAGACTGTCCTCCTGTGAAAAACGAGCCCATAGGTCGTTTGTGCAGCAGGTTATTATGACCCATAGTTATTTTTTGTTGCTAGGCGACATCTAGTGGTCATAGTTATTATGACAGGAGCAAAGGGAAAACGTAGTCCACGTCAGGAGGAGGTTGTGGTGGATGGATGAATATGACACAGGAGACCGGTGTTAGATTCCAATGTGAAACCAGCTGTTTATATTGTAACCATGACATAATAATAAGTCAATAATATTGAGGAAGTACTTATTTTAACCCAAATCACGATTCCTAAACCTAACCAGGTACTTTTATGCCTAAATCTAACCAAGCTATGACCATTATTATAGTAACCATGGCAACAAAGGTAGGCATGCCGTGTCAGTCTATGTGTTTATTATTGTAACCATGTCAACCAAGGTCCGGTTGACCTGCCACCATATGGACACTATTTCAGGAGACACTTCTATGGGTCGTACCAGAGGGTTTAAAAAAACGACCTGTGTAGTTGTTCAGGGTGGTGGACTGTACAATCTCTGGAGTAGTTAGATGACATCCTAACCTCATGGCGTGTAATGTCTCACCATCAACACACAGAAATCAGGTCAGGAAGCTCAGACTCCAGTAAACCACTGAAGCATCCAGAGAACACACAGTGTGAGTCTGTGTTTTCCTGGAAGAATCCAGAGGTGTTCCCACCATCTCTCTGTCAGAGGTTTACTGCTGCCCTCATCCCCCATGACACAGAGTGAGCCGCGATGTTTCGACTGCTCACACACCACGCGGGCCACGCCAAGCCACAGCGGGGTGGCAGAGGAGGGTGACGGTGGTGAGAGGAAATAATTAGGCCATGCAGCAGTCCTTTATAAAAGTTAATAACCCAGCTCACAGATGTTGGAGTGATGCTGCCAAACTCAGGGAAATGTCACATCTCCTACAGCTGTGTGTGTGTGTGTGTGTGTGTGTGTGTGTGTGTGTGTGTGTGTGTGTGTGCGTGTGTGTGTGTGAGAATCTAAAGTGGCTCCAGATCTCGGTGGTGTCTGTCATGAATGGAGGTCTTGTTGCTCAGAGCTGGTGTAATGAGGACTCAGTTCTTTCTGTTTGACTGGAACCTCCTCGTTCACTTCTCTTCCTGCTGCTGCTGTGTTTACTGATATAAATACAGACTCTAAATAAACCTTTAATCCAAACACCGGAAACCAGAGATCGTGTTTATACTGATGAACAGAGTTCCGTGGAAATGGAGCAAGGCCACTTCTCTGCTCATGTAACGCAGGTTTCCATTTTCTTTTCAGCTCTATTTATTACAAGCTGGTTTTATTTCTGTAGCTCAGTTACCATCACTTCTGTCTTCTACATGTGAAGGTGACTGAGCTCCTGGAGCAGAGCAACACCAGTAATAATCCAATCATATAATATGTAATAGTGCTGACAGGGTCCAGGTTTGAACTATAGCTTTTATAAAATGTAATGTACTGTTTCCTGTATGTGATGTACCTGTCCGTCTGTCTGTGCTGTTTCAGATGTGGATGAGTGTCAGGACCAGCGGGTCTGTACCAGGGGCCACTGTCTGAACACTGAGGGCTCCTTCATCTGTGAGTGCGGGCCGGGCTTCAGAGTGTCAGCAGCTGGAGACCAGTGTAACGGTAGGAGCCTGAGTCCTGTCTGAACTGTACACGTCATGTAAAGAGCAGCTTACAGGTGGAAACACCAGTGAATCAGTGTGGAGGAAAATGATTTAGAAGATAGATTTTCAGGGTTGCCCTGGTGATAACCTGGTGGAACGGGTACCAGGCCTGTGGCCCTGTGCTGCATGTCATCCCCTCTCTCTCTCTGCCTGACTTTACTGTCTCTCACTCACTGTGACTATCAGAATAAAGGCCCAAAACATAACTTAAAAAAAGAGAAGAAACTAGATTTTCATAACTGAATGTATGTACAGAAGCCCTGAGAGGCAAGTGAAAAAAAATTCCCAGGATCATTTTTCAATTTTTTTTTTTTTTTTCATCTTTGAAAACAAGTGAACACACATTATATGTAACTTGTGTTTAGAGTGCTTTTCATTCTATTCAGACTGGGGTAGTGGCGCACTTTAGCCTCTTGTGGCCAAAATGAGTATTACAAAAACACTTTTCTTCACTTCCCTCTCAGGGCTTCCATACATAAGGGTTTTAAGGGAGTGTTGTGCCTGCCTCAAAAAAGACAACTTAAAGCTCTAAACATAGATCCCAATGCTGGTCTGACTGAAGGGGTTGTATATTGGACCACAGCCCTGTAATATAGAGCCAGGAGAGCAGGAGCAGACAGAGATCAGGGGGGATGATGGTAGCTACATCCACACTACTACATTTTCGTTTTAAAATGCATCTGTTTTGCTACATTTTCACCCCTGTCCACATGGAACCGGCGTTTTAGAGCACCAAAAAAACAAAGACTTTCAGAAACGCTGCTGGACCCATTTTGTTTTGAAAACTCTGGGGTTGTGTTGTAGCGTGGACGGGCCAAAACTGAAACATTTGGAAATGCCATCCCACAGTCTCTCCTGATTGGCTCTCATCAGCCGGGACTACAAGTGGTGAATACAACATGATAATGAATGACAGTGTTACTGACCTTGTTGCCTTTGCTAGCAGCTGTTGTTCAGTTACATTCTGTATTTTAACACTGCAGCTGTCTTTGTTGTTCCTCATTCAGAGGATTTTTTGCACATTCTCAGTGTACGTGAATGTTCATGTATGTGTGTTTTCAGGTGTGGTAGTTTGGACGGAGATTGTTTCTGATACGAAGCTAAAACACTCGTCTGGACAGAGATCGTTTTCGTTTGAAAACGCTGTTTCAAAATAAAAACACAGTAGTGTGGATGTAGCCAGTGTCTTGGTGGGTGGCTGATGTTAGCTACTGAGAGCTAACACTGTTCACATACAGTACTGTGGAGCTGCTGAAACAAATCAGGATATAACAACTAATATTAGTCTATTACTGTCAGGAGTATCAATACTCACCCTTAACAGAAACATGGGGGGGGGGCAGAGAGATAGGAGCTCTCACAGAACCTCCGGTGACCTGGAGTAACCCATCTCTCAGCTGGAGAGAAGAAAGGTTCATATATTTGACTCTGAGTCACATAGTAAATAACATATATGGACTGAGTGAAAGTGCTTCTCCCTGATAGGCAGATGACCCAGCTGCCCTGGTGCAAACCATACGACTCTCCTCAATATCCCTGGTTCCAGTAACTTCTCTGCTGTCATTATGGTGTAGATGTAGAAGTCAAAGTAACCTTGGGCAAGATACTGAACCCCAAATTGCCTCCGATGTACCATCGGTGTGTGAATATGTGTGTATACTAGAAAAACAGTGTAGGAAAAGCACTGTATGAATGAGTGTGTGAATGGGTGAATGTGACTAGTAGTGTAAAGTGCTTTAAGTGGTCATTAAGACTAGAAAAGCTCTATGTAAATGCAGTGCATGTGAGTACACACAAAACATGTAGAGAATATGTCAAAGCTTATGTTTGAAGTACTAAGGGACTGCTGCCCCATGTGGCAATAAACTGATCCCAGTTGGTCAGTCATGAAGCCCTGCAGTAAACGTGTGTGTGTGTGTGTGGACGGTCTGATCTTTTAACTTCATGATCATTATTGACTCTGCAGTTTGTGGTTCTGTTGAATTATCACTGAGAGGAGTTTCTGGTTGAGCTACTGTGTTACACTACAGGTGTTTCTGAGGCAGAGCTGACTTCCCTCTGAGTTTCTGCTCTCATGTCTCACAAAACCAAAAAGTGCATTAACTGTTCAAATGATCAACTCGAGGAAACAGTAAATAACATTTTTATTCCTTCTTATTATATTAATAATGATGAAAACATTGTTCTGATAATTTATGATAAAACTAGAATCACCACCTACCACCAACTAGTCAAGTTACAGGAAGCGTGTGCGTGTGTGTGTGTGTGTGTGTGTGTGTGTGTGTGTGTGTGTGTGTGTGTGTGTGTGTGTGTGTGTGTGTGTGTGTGTGTGTGTGTGTGTGTGTATGTGTTTCAGATGTGGACGAGTGTGTGGAGGAGGCTCAGCCCTGTGAGGATATAGGGGAGTGTGTCAACAGTCTGGGCTCCTACACCTGTACCTGTCCACAGGGATACCAACAGATCAACAGCACCAGCTGTATATGTGAGCACCCTCCCCACACACACACACACACACAAAAAAACATGTTTCTGAACCAGGACTCAGACTGTTGCAGTGACTCAGTGTGTGTCGAGCTGCTCTGATGAACACACACATCTCTTAGTGGGTTTGTGTGTCTGTGTCATTCCAGATATCGACGAGTGTGTGGACGAGCCGGAGCTTTGCTCCCCCCACGGAGAGTGTCTCAACACACAGGGGTCCTACCTGTGTGTGTGTGAGAGTGGATTCACCGCTAACCTCGACACACCCTCCTGTGACGGTAGGATGCAACACACACACACACACACACACACACACACACACACACATATTAATGGGTTTCATTAGATGGAAGAGTAATGATTGCTCATCACCTTTCTGATGTGTTGGGGTGAATAAACTACATGTTCTCTGTTCTACCTTTGTCTGATGTTATTCTGTATTTTTCTTATGTTCAACAAATACCATGAAAAGACCAAAACCAACTCTGTCTCTCAGCTCTGACTCTGTCTGAGCCTCTCAGAGATCAGTGGCTACAAGAGTTTTCAACAAATATCATTCAAACGGGAAGAAACAAAGTGCATGTGTAGGGACTATTTTCAGTGGTGGATTAATATGTGGTAGATGTAGTGCAGTGGTACAGTGGTGAGTGTTACTTCCAGAGGGATGGTGATCAATAGTTAATTTATTATGACCTTTTCCCATCAGCCTCTGGTGTACTTTGTGTTTAGTGCTAATTAGCAAATGTTAGCTTGCTAATGCGCTAAGCTAATATGAATAATAAAAATCAGCATATTAGCATTTTAGACAACGATGGAGCTCTATGGCTCAGAGGATTCAGATATCAGGCTTAGACACACACACACACACACACACACACACACACACTACATTAATAGAACCATTTATTGTTGGTTGGACAGGCTGGACAGACACAATGGATCATTTCATAATTCATGATCAATTTTCATAGCACTAAAGCAATTCTTCAACACTTTGCTGGTTTTGACTTGTTTGGAGAAAAACCACCAACCTTTTCTGAAATCTCCATCAGTCAAGTCCTCACTCAGGATGATGTCAGTCTACAGCAGCTGGTGTCAGATTAGGGGCTGTATCTGAACATTCCTCTCCAATCTCTCCATCATTCACCCCGTCCTTCACCATGATCAGGTGACTGCACAGACAGTTCATGTGAGGGAGGGAGTGATGATGACGGCAGGAGGGAGTGATGATGAAGGCAGGAGGGAGTGATGATGACGGCAGGAAGGAGTGATGATGACGGCAGGAGGGAGTGATGATGACAGCAGGAGGGAGTGATGATGAAGGCAGGAGTGAGTGATGATGACGGCAGGAGGGAGTGATGATGAAGGCAGGAGTGAGGCTAAGGAGAACAGGAGCTACAGGCTGGACAGACACAATGGAACAAATCTATATTAAACATGACATTTACAAAAAATTATATAATTAGTAAATATCAGTTTCCTTATCTCCTGTTTCTCTACCCTCTTCATCACTGGGTCTCTGTCCTTGAAAGGAGACAGACAGACAAGGGAGATGTCTGACAGTGTTGTCTGAGCCGTGGCTGGAGGATCGGCCTCAGAGCAGAGCTGTGTTTAATGTCCTCTCAGAAAACACAGAGAACAGAAACACATGGAAGCCTTTGATCTGGCTGTCTAGACGAGGGGGGATATTTGTTTCTCTACCTCTACCTATTTATGCAGGGGGCTCAGACATGGTGTGTGTTTGTGTGTGCGTGTGTGTGCGTGTGTGAAAGCAGCTGAATAAGGAGAGATCAGCTGGAAGTGTCTGACAGAGTTTACTGAGGTAAAGAGGAAAGTTTTGGAGATGAAGTGAAGGACCCAGTGAAGACAGGAGACAGGACCGGATCCCCTGGAGTCCAGATCCTGGTGGTGGAGCAGAGTCAGTGGCAGCAGTAAAAATTGCTGAAAGTTCAGGGGCTGGTCTCACAGAGATGTGTCAGACTGCTCTGCAGTGTTGCTCTGGTCTTCATGTTGCTCACAGATCAGTCTGATGTTAGTCAGACTGTTTCACAAAAACATTAGACACCTTACCCCCAGGCTAACTCAGGCATAAGACCAATGTTACCATGGTAACAATCAATGACACCTCCACTGACTAGTAGCGCCCAACAAAAGAAAACAGCGACAAAAAACCAGGAAAAGATGGCTCATAATTTGTGGTTTGCTGACATTGTTCTGGAGAGAGCAAAGAGAAGATAAAGAGTTTTTAGAGACTGCAGACATTTTTTTCAAATCAGATTTTCTTTTTATTGTTTCACTTACAATATCGTTCTTCAAAAAGACAAACATTTTCTTCTGGGTAGACAGAGCTCAGCAGTGGAATGCTGTTCCCAGGTTTGCCATTTTCAAGTCTTAATTTACCCATAATTAATTGTACCACAGTCCGGCTTGAGACAGTGAAGAACTAAAATGCTTTGTGCGACAGATGAATTTAGACTCAGTCTTGACTATATGTTATATCTAAGCTACAGTCAAAGTCTGTCTTTGTGAAACTGGCCCCAGAGCTGAACTGGACAGGACAAAGAAGATAAAGATAAAGTCAGGAGAGACATGATGTCTTGAGATGAGGAGCAGTCCTGGTGGAGATGGAGAGCAAACAGGAAGTGACAGAGAAATATAAACAGCGGGAAACAGCTGACGTTTACCACAGAGATATGAAGCAGCAGATCTTTACTGAACTTCAGCACAGCTTCATTTCATGTTTGTTAATGTTTATGTGCTGTCAATTCTCTGCTCCATCCTCTGCTTTCAGTTCCACCTTTTACCACTTTATCTGTTTGGCTGTGTGTCTGTGATTTACAGTGAAATCCTCCACATGAATGTGATGTTAGCCACAGATAATACAGAGGTTTGCAAAGGGTGTTACAGATCACTCTGACATGTGTTTGCTTGTTTGTTCTCCAGACATTGATGAGTGTGGCCTCAATGAGACGCTGTGTGGCCCCCACGGCTTCTGTGAGAACAGACTGGGCTCTTTTAGATGCCTCTGCGACCAGGGCTACCAGGAGTCCCAGGACGGCTACGGCTGTGTGGGTAGGTGTTGGACTATTGGTTCATTATGTAGATAATTAGAAAGCTCATCATATTCTCACTACCAGGTTCTAGTTCAGAGACAACAGACGAAGAAGAAGTAAATGGTCCACACTCTGTCACTGCACCTTCAGCCTCAGAGCAGCTCCCTCATTCTGAGACGTTGATAACATGCACTACTGTCCCTGCTGCCTGAAAACACTTGGAACTGACGGTTAACAGGGGCGGGTCACATCATGGAAGGTGGCTACGTCACTGCTTCAGCAGGTGGAGACGTGTGTAGCTTTCTAGTGATATTGGTGATGTCTTGGGTCTAATGCCTCCACAGGTTAGGAGGGGACGTTAATCTGCTTGGGGAGGGAGTCTGGCTCAGGGTCATGTGACAAACAGAGGGCACTGGTTCATGGACTGGCATCAGTGGACAACCATAGGAGAGGAAAACACAGGGAGAAAATTTTGCAGTTTGTAAATGAACTACATGTTTTCTTTAACCTGATCACATCCACATCAATGTGATTCAGATGTAAGATGATTAGAAATAAAATACAGGTATTATGGGAACAACAAACCAAATAAAGAAAAGCTTCAATAGACCGCTAACTTCATATTTCTGTATTTCAATTATACCTTCATCTCTTCTCAGCACCTTCAGTTTGGCTGATACTGTGGGTCGTATCTTAAACCACCAAGCTCAACACAAGTGTTTTTGCCTGTTTCTGCAACGAGTATTAGGGCCACATTGAGGAAAACAGTAAGAAAGAAAGAAATCTGAAATTTCAGGAAAAGAATTATGGTGATGATGATGATGATAATGATGATGATGATGATGGTGATGATGGTGATCATGGTTATAAATGTGATGATGGTGATGATGATGATGATGATGATGGTGATGATGGTGATGATGGTGATAAATGTGATGATGGTGATGATGGTGATGATGATGATGGTGGTGATCATGGTGATCATGGTGATAAATGTGATGATGGTGATGATTGTGATGATGATGATGATGATGATGATGATGATGATGATGATGATGATGATGATGATGATGATGATGAGTTTAAAAACAGTTTAAACATAAATCTTGAGCCAGACATCGAGCTACCCCGCCTTAATACCAGGGAAGTTTCCATGTGAAATTCATTTTGAAAGAGCAACAGTCAAAGAGGAAACTCCAACTCCGTCACGTGGCTTTCGACTGAGCAATCAGAGCAGTTTATTCTTTTTTTAAATAATTTTTTGGGGCTTTTTATGCCTTTATTAGAGTAGCAGTGAGAAGGACAGGAAGGTTTAGGGTGAGAGAGAGAGAGGAGATGAAATGCAGCAAAGGGCCGTGGGTTGGATTCAAACCCTAACTAAAAAATAGATCACATGGCCTATTGGTTTTTTGTTTCCAAAAAGCGATAAAACCAAAAATTTCGTTTTTTTCAAATACATTTTTTCATTTCTCATTTGGCAAAAAAACACTAGAACAGTGGACAGACAGGAGTTCACCTGACTGACCCTTTGTAACCTCACATCTCCTGAACTGTAGGTTCCTGTGTGTCCACCTGATGAATCACGTCAGATAATGTGTAAAATGTGAGGAGTCTGATGAGCAGCTAATATACAATAATAATATAACCATGTTCCCTCTCCACAGATGTGAATGAGTGTGAGCTGCTGAGCAGTGTTTGTGGAGAAGCTCAGTGTGTCAACACAGACGGCTCCTTCCTCTGTGAGTGTCCCAGCGGCCAGGACTACAACCTCAACGTCGCCAAGTGTCAACCTGTTCCCACAGGTGAGTCACAGGTTAACAGGGCGGACAGCTTCATTACACTAACACATCTCCAAACTATTCGGTACACTGAGGTGGACGTGCTTTATACAGTAGACAGGGACAGAAATCTGATGTAAACAATGTGTAGTTTTACATAGAGATCCACAAATGACTCCATAGTTACATCCAGATGTAGACTGCGTGATGTTTTATATAACCAGAATATTTGATCAATGAAGCCAGTGTCATGACAAATACAAAAACCTACTACATGCAGTGTTGAGAACACGTGACATGTGCGGAACACATGGCACATTTGTTATGTGTGGTTTTGGAACATTTTCGTGGTGTAATGTGTGTAGTCCATGTAAATTTCCATGCAAAACCTTTCGATTACATTTAACACACATGTATAGAGCCATGTGAAACCCACACTTAACATCAAATTTAGGTTCACACTAATCCAGACTAATCCAGACTCACATGTTATCAGGCTAAATAATCCTGAGTTATTCATCTTGGATGACGTTATCTGAAAAAGCAGAGTAGAGAGCTGAAACCATGATCAGCATTCGTATCATTGGACGAGTGCTGATCATGTGACTGCAGGTACATGAGGTTCTGGGAAGTTTTCCAGCATGCTCAGCAATGTTTCCCAGTTTCCACACTTTAACCACTGTTAAACAGACATGAGCGGTGGAGGTCTTTGATGGAAATGTTTGAGTTGTATCATCAGATTTAATTCCACCAGTTTTCAGCAAAGTGAGTTTTACAGTTGATCATTTATTAAGCTTTATTGTTGATGTTGTGGCTGCTATGGTTTTTTGACCAGTCAAAGTTTGTGTCTTTCTGCTCAGGAACTGAGATCTAAACAAAAACAAAGTGTTCAGAATTTTGTAGATGCAGCAGCTGCAGTTTGCTGAAAGCCCCACACAGTGTCTGTTACCTTACAATGCTCTGAAACAGTTTGTACAACCTCTGATAATAAAGTTGCTCCTCACTTATACAGCAGCAGCAACAGACTCATTTTCTCTGTATGTGTCATGCACAGATATGACATGTACAGCTCAACGATGTCTGGAGGACTGGAATTCAATGAGGCTAGAAAACTGTTGTAATTAAAGTGAGAAACAGTTGACTGGATACTGTGTCTTCATTTCATGTGAGTGACACCCACCCACCTCTCCTCTGGTCCCTGCCCTCCTCTCTGTGTGTCGTCCTCTTCCTGGTTTCAGCGTCGTCAGTGGAGCGTAAGGAGTGCTACTTCCACCTCAACAACGAGAATCTGTGTGAGAGCGTGCTAACCAGCCACGTCACCCTGCAGGAGTGCTGCTGCACGCTGGGAGCCGGCTGGGGTGACAACTGTGAGGTGCACCCCTGTCCTGTCAATGGCACTGGTAAGTTAGAGGGGGAGGAGTCAGAACGACAGCAGTATCTTTTAAAATCCCAGCAGCAACAATTTTATAATTCATACACAGAAATAATTGTTATTGCATCATTTAATATCCTGATTATTCATTATGAGTCATTCTGTAACTGTTTGATACTATTTGAATATTTACTTACTACAGTGTTAGAGCCTGTGGAACCTCGTTAAGACTCTCCAGTCCCAATAAATAAAGTTCAGAGTTAAACAGGACTTTACAATAGAGTGATTGTACTAAAGTAAACTGATGCAGGTTTTTACCTCAGTGTCACAATCAGTGAAACTATTCTTCTCTCTCGTCTTTCTTCTCTGTGTCTGATCACTTGTGGCACAGACTGTGTTTTTTGTCACAAACTGGTTGATCATTTAGAGCTAATTGTGGGAGTGGAAATGAGACTTGTGCACATACGCCCAATTTCTTAATGAGTGAGATTTATAAAGCAGAACCATGTGAACGCACGGCTTTATAATTCAAGTTTTTTGTACCTGGCCCCTGGTGGTGGATTCTGGATGTAGTTGCATTGAGTCTTCATGTCTTCTAGACTAAACTACCTCACTTTGATCCTCCTACCTCAGTCACACCTCCTTTCCCTTCCCTCCTTATTTGCAGGACTCTTAAACGGATGATGGATATCTGAGTGTATCACTTTGTTCTTGACTCAGAAACCTGCTCAAACATTTTGTCTGACTGGGGATCATTCATTGTCTCTATTATTCACACTATGTGTAAACCAGTGTTTTCTGTTTCATCAGCTGAGCAGGAAGTGACCTACACAGTGAGGTGTACCTAATAAAGTGTCACACCTCTAGTACACGCCTCTCAGTGCAGGATGGATGATTAACCTCCATGTTTGTTTCCTGTCTCTTTCAGACCAGTTTAACCTGATGTGTCCATCTGGTAGAGGCTTCATCCCCAGTGCAGACCCTCTGTACGGAGCCCCCCCTGCTGACAGCTACAGAGGTGAGACCAGGCTCCTCCCACACTACGTCATGTCACACACAGGTCACATAGCTGAATCTGCAGAGTTCCACGTCATTTTAAAAATCTAATTTTGCATAATGCACAAAGTTGTACCTACTTACACACTGTAGTTATACAAGTTGCAAAGTTAGTGAACTGTAGTTCCCATCAGTTACTATCGACAATTTTTCCAACAATTAATCAATCAACTATTTTATCGAATAGTCAATTAATCTGAGCGATTCATTTTCCTCCAGAAAATCTAAATGACACTCTGGCATAATCAATAATCCCGGATTCAGGCCTAAACATTTTACATTTATTCAGTGTAAATTCTAAGGCAGCAGCAGACGAGAGCATTTATCAACTACACAGACCAAAGATGTTAAAAAGCTTTGTCTACTAATGAACAGACACTGTTTCAGGACACTGTTCAAACAATGTTGCTTGTTGAACAGGTGGTTGGATAAAGGCCTTTTACTGTGTGTGTGTGTGTGTGTGTGTAGGTAGGTGTGTGTGTCTGTGTGTGCTCTCTCTCCCAGAGAGCAGAGGACAAAGAAGCAGTGTGACCATAAATGATAAAAAGAAAATAATTATACAGCAGTTAGTAGTGACATCAATTATAGCAACTAATCACGGCAGCCCTAGTGATGACACTTTTCCTTACATTAGCTTTACATGAAGCCACCTCTGACAGCCTCCTGTCCCTCCAGGATGTGACCTGTCCTGCCTTCTTCTTCCTGTTTGCAGATGCAGATGAGTGTTCACTGTTTGGTGAGGAGGTGTGTAAAGGAGGCTTCTGCCTGGACACTGTGGGCAGCTACGAGTGTTACTGCAAGACCGGACAGGACTACGACCCAGCAAGACTGGAATGCAGAGGTCAGGATGACACACAGAGTGTCTTTGTCTTTGTGTGTGTGTGTGTGTGTGTGTGTGTGTGTGTGTGTGTGTGTGTGTGTGTGTGTGAGAGTGTGCGAGCCAGAGAGAAACTCTGCGTTTCCTTGTTTGCCTCTTAAACAACACTGATGCGAAAGATCTGATCATGGTTATCTGTAATCTGAATTACAGCTGCTAATCCAGCTGTGACCTGAAGATGTGCAGAGCTGTGTATCTCTAAGACAGTACACAGAGGTTTATACAGCACCTGAAACATTTAAAGATTTCAATTCTTCGATTTTTAATTCTGTTGATGATATGTTTGTGTATTCTCACTGACAGTGTTGTTGTAGAGTGACAGGAGAAATTGGACAAAGAGCTTTCAACTGCTGCAGAAAAATGTAGTAAGTGAAGCTTGAGTAGGGTAAAGGTTCAGAACACAGAATATAAATGTTCAGGAAAGTGGACCATGAGATGTGATTGAAAGCTCCAGAAAAAATGGATTTAGAAACACTAGTATCAGAGGTCTACTTCTGTTATGCTAACAGAGTGGTTGCCATGGTTTTACATGGTTACCATGGTTACACCTGAGTTGGGGACTGACCTAGCATGAAGAACTGGTCCCATTTAACTTCCAGAAACTACAGAATATCTTCACCCTCAAGAGCAAAATGTTTTATGATATTTTTAGGTATGATGTTTTAAGACCTACAGAGGAGTAGGTGAAGTAGGGTGGAGTATGATCAGGAGACTTGAGGCTGAATAATGGATAAAAAGGAGTGGATGCCCACCTCTGATCTGTCCTGAAGTCTTTGTGCTTTATTTGTGCATATGAAAGAAAAATGACAGAAAGACTTGAGTTGAATAAGTCGTGTGTCACTTTTACATTCATCTGAAAAGGTTGTGTTATCTTCTTCAGACATCAACGAGTGTGTGGATGAGTCGGTGTGTGTTGGGGGACAGTGTCTGAACACAGATGGCTCATACATGTGTTTCTGCACACACCCCATGGTGCTGGACCCCAGCAGTAACAGCTGTGTGCTCATGCCTGAGGCAGTTGGTAAGAAACAAATTAATTAATTCATTTAAATTCTTCCTACCTTCCCATGTTATTATTGTGTGTCATATAGTCTTTGTAAAACTTCTTACTTCTCATATGAGATGATCCGGCTCAGACCTTCTCTTGTGAGCCCAGGTTCAATAAAATCCAACTTTAGGTCTCACAAAGTATTTGACTTGTTATGAGGCAAAAAGTCTGACCAGGTCAAATCTCAGTAAGCAAGCTGTTACCTGCTGCTCAGCCTAACTCCTCACACTGTCCATGTGACTCACACCCTCCCTGACAGACTGAACACAGGCCGCAACAGAGTGTTAGTGTGTGTGTAGTAATGCAGTGTGTGTCCACAGAGTCTCATGAGGCAGAGCAGGTGGACTACCAGGGGATCTGCTGGCAGAAAGTCACAGACACGACATGCACCAATCCGCTGGGTCTCAACAGGAAGACCACGTACACAGAGTGCTGCTGCCTGTACGGAGAGGCCTGGGGCATGGACTGTGCTCTGTGTCCCCCCAGACACACAGGTACAAATACACAACCACACACACTGCCCTGTGTCCCCTGAGACCCACTGGTACACACTACACAACAACAACACACACACTGCGATGTGGTGATGTGAACTGAAATGAAAATGAAATGTCAGGTTACATTTTCATTTTAATGACATTCTCCCTTATTGTGTGAACTTCTGTCAAAGGATCACATTATATCATTACACATGGTCTCAGGGGGTATCAGTGGATATAAATGGATATCAGTGGGTAACAGTAGGTATCAGTGTGTATCAGGGGGTATCAGGGGGTATCAGTAGGTATAAGTAAGCATCACTGTGTGTCACTGGGTATCAGTAGCTCTCAGTACGTCTCAGTGGTTCAGAGCTGGTCTGGATGAAAAATAACTTAAACAGAACACATCAGGTGATGTGATTTGATCTGTGACACACACTTTATTTTAATCCCAGTTTTAATTGTGAAAGTAAACTCGTATCTTAATGTTGTCACACATCATATATACAAATGTCAAATGACAGCAGCTGTGAACCTCCACGTTCACTGTGTATACACTCCTCCACTCAGCTGTCAGTGCATCAACACCAACAGTTCAATACAAACACAAACCCCACAACACGTGACCTACAGGTCAGAGACTGATGAGTCCTCCAGTCACCTGTCAGTATTGTTGATTATTGATATTACCATCCCATCCCTTCTCCTTCTCCTTCTCTGTCTCTCTCTCAGAGGACTATGCTGCCATGTGTAACCTTCCTCTGGGGGGTGGGCGGCGGCCCTACGGTCATGACGCCCTTTCTGCCGGTCCGGTCCATGAATATGAAGTGAGCCCGGACTATTCACCGTCACCTGAGCAGCAGGCCGTCCTGCCTTTCTACAACGAGGAGCGTGAGTGTTTGTATTTAATAGGGCTGGGGCGACGCATCGACGTAATTGACTATGTAAATACGAAAAAACCTCGCCCAAGATCACCTAAAGTGTGGGAGTATTTAAAGCAGAGACGGAACAACATGGTGCTCTGCAAGATCTGCAAATTAGAAATGGCTTATCACAGCAGGCTCTGTTCGTTCTTTCTTTTTTTGTTTTATGTATTAACCTCTATTATACTATACTGAAGTCTTTATTGAGTGATATTTATTATGAGCTGAGCTTATGCTGATTCTAAATATGTGTGGCACTTGGTGAAACTGTTAAAAAACACAAAGTATTAAATAATTAAAGAACAAAACTATTGAAATTTCTTAGTTTTTTAAATTTATTTTGGGTAAATTTGTTGTTATATTAATTGAGTAATTATAAAAAATCGATAGATTAATCCATTAATCGAAAAAATAATCGATAAACAAATAATGGTTAGGTGCAGCCCTAGTATTTGATGCTCTAAAACACAGGACTGTTTTACACCTGGACTTCAATCAGGTCTTTAGAAGGAACTTAGTTCTTCAACATAATATGACCAAGGTTCAGAGTTGTAAAGGAAGTGGCTCCTCTGTGATCCCTGGTCACTGGTTTCATACAGTTTGTCAACAGGCTGTAAGCAGCTCAAACTTCTTTTTGTTCTATCTGAATGATTCTTCAGTAATTTAAACAGAAGAAAAGCATGAATGGATGAAATGAAAGAAAAACACTGGTCTAGAGTTGAAATCATACTAAACAGTTGATGGATGTGAATGTGGCTTATTGATATCACTTTTTTATATTAACTTATGAAAGCTTTATCATGAATCAGTGTGAAGCTGAGTGAAGTTTATAGTTTTCAATGGCTTATTAACTTTGTGAATCAGTGTAGAGTCTGAAATCTCATGGATATCAGTAGGTATCATTGGGTATCAGTGGGTATCAGAGGGTATCAGTGGGTATTAGANTATCAGAAGGTATCAGTAGGTATCAGTGGGTATCAGAAGGTATCAGAAGGTATCAGTGGGTATCAGTAGGTATCAGTGGGTATCAGCGGGTATCAGTGGGTATCATCAGGTATCAGTGGGTATCAGCAGGTATCAGTAGGTATCAGTGGGTATCAGCGGGTATCAGTGGGTATCAGCAGGTATCAGCGGGTATCAGTGGGTATCAGTGGGTATCAGTGGGTATCAGAAGGTATCAGTGGGTATCAGTGGGTATCAGAGGGTATCAGTGGGTATCAGTGGGTATCAGTGGGTATCAGTGGGTATCAGTGGGTATCAGCAGGTATCAGTAGGTATCAGTGGGTATCAGTGGGTATCAGTGGGTATCAGCAGGTATCAGTAGGTATCAGTGGGTATCAGTATCAGAGGGTAATAAGTGGGTAGGAAGTTTGGTTCATTGTATTAGAAACAGTTTGTGTCTGTGTCTCTGTGAGACTCTTGTTGAGTTGTCTAACAACTCTGTGTTATGTTAATCACACCAACAGTGTATGAGATATCCACGCTATTTGTGTGATTCAGTTGGAAATTATTATATATTAATTTATATTATTATAAATATTATCTGAGGCCACAGCAGGACACAGGACACTAAGAATAAACCAACATGATGGAAAACAAGACATGAAAAAATACATCCTCTGGTAGGAATGAAAAGGGAATTTAGCCTCACTGATAGAAACACCTCTCAGTGTCACATGATACAGTTGGAGCCTCCAACATGATCGTAAAGGTACATCAACACCTGTTTGGAATAGTTTCATCATATGATGGGAGATTATACCATAAATACACAGGTTCATATTTTCTGATGGAAACACTTGTTACAGCACTTTGCTGCCCTCTGGTGGTAACATGTTAGAGTTAGGGTAGCCCAACAGTCCACTTATTCTACACATTGGAAACAGATTATGCACTCTTCATGTGAACCATCTGTTTAATCAGTGTTTGATCAGTGTTTGATCAAAGTTTGTGTTTGTCAAAGTTCAGTGTTTGATCTAAGCACACCCTAAGTTTTGAACTAAAGTTCCCATAATTCATTGGTGGATGTCGGTTTAGCTGTGGGCTACAACCGGAGTCCTGTTTTTTAGCTGCTATTTTTACATTTTGGCAAATCAGCTGTTAGCATGTACAGACAGCTGTCACTGGATCACTGTGATACTGAAGAAAACTTAAAAACATGAGGAGTTATAAGCAGCTTCTTTTTTCTGTGCAGGTTTATGATGGACTTTTATTCGGAATGAACACTGGAGATAATGACATCTTCAGGAAGTGTTAGTCAGCAACATGTGTATCATGTCTTTGTGTTGAAATCTGACTTGAGTTTTGACTCAAGTGTGATGTATTGGTGCTGTCGTCTCTCTACTGTAGCTCCATTCAAGGCGTTCGAGGGTTTGCGAGCAGAGGAGTGCGGGATACTGAACGGCTGTGAGAATGGCCGCTGTGTCCGGGTTCAGGAGGGCTACACCTGCGACTGCTTTGATGGATACACCTTCGACATGTCCCGCATGGCCTGCATTGGTAAGAGAGCAGTGACACACGACTAAGACAAAGAGATAACAACACTGTTTCTAACATGACTTCCTCCCTCCTCTGTCCACAGATGTGAACGAGTGCTCAGAACTCAACAGTCGGATGTCACTGTGTAAAAACGCCAAGTGCATCAACACAGTGGGCTCCTACCAGTGTGTGTGTCTGCCGGGGTTCACGGCCTCCGACAAACCCAACTACTGCGTGGAGGCCACAACACACCAAACATCAACACACACACAGTGAGCATGGACAGACACTAGGGGGCGACAATAGACACAAAACCACACGCACAAGCTTGTATTACTATACTTGTGAGGACGTCCACTAAAAACATTCAGTCACTTCCAGATCCGCAACACCACCTCAGAGTTCTGATCCTGGTCCGGTTAGTGTCTGACCCACAACCCTGAGACCTGAACCTTGTCTTTAAATGAACCTAATCCTGATTCTGATCTTATTCCATAATTTAAACCTGATCCAAATCCCGATCAGGTACCACTGTCATTACTCTTATATATGCCTGTATTCCCTCTTGCATCACTGTGGATGTTTTTACTTTCCCTCTGTTGTATTATAGTTGTTTTACTTTTTCATTTTAGTGGTTTCGATCATGGACATTTTAAAATAAACCTAAATATTATAAAGTATTTCCAATGTTAAGGCCTAAAATATTAGTATCAGAATATTATTTTTAATGACTTTCCACCAACCACACTGTCAACACTGTGACTAGCTTTGGTTTCTTTGTTGAGGGAATCATTTAGTATTTGGTGCTTATTTACTTTCTTTCCTAGAGACAGGTGAGACCTCATATCTCTGCTCTGTGTAGAGAGCTAGTGATTAGCCTAGCTTGGTACAGAGACTGGAAGCTGGAGGAAACAACTGGATAGTCTTTATGATAAGCTAGGCTAACACTTTCCAGAAATGTTGAACTGTTCCTTTAGTTTGAACCTGTTGCGACTGACAGAAGACAGAAGCTTCATCATCATTTGTTAGAAACACAGTTTGGAGAACAAAATAAAGAAACACATGTAGAATGTTGTGTTAGCATGTTAGTAGAGCAGCACAGGAGGCATTCAGGCACAGTACTCAGTGTCGGTCATCCACGTTTCGGAAGTGTTCAGAGTCACGTTCACGGGCGTAAGTGAGACACAAGCTGTTAGCAGGCTGTGTAAAAAAGCTAGACTGATTAAGGCCCTGTTCAGAAGTGAACCGCTCTAAGTTCAGGTGTGAACACACCCAAGACGCATTGAGATCCCATCACACATTCTTTCAGAAGTGTGAGCGAAAATGTGTCCTATGAACTCGCCAACAGTATCAGATTAACATGACAACAGACAACAACAACAACAACATACAAACTGGATTATTGTAGCTGGAGCACACACAACAAACACTGTCTGATCAGGACTATGGACACTGGAAGATTCATATCGCAGACAGGTGATTTATGAGGAGACAGACTCCATTTTTCATTCCAGTACAGAGCATAAATATCACATGGAATATCTGAGACATTTAAATGGTGAAGGATGAATGTATTAGGTAGTAGTTAGGGAGGGATTTTCAGCCAATGGGTGAACAGCTTCATGCTCATGATGATGAAGCATATTAGCATGCTAGCATTTGTTATTACAGGTGAGGGTGATGGAGTGTTGTTTTTTTTAGCCATAAACCAAAGAAATGGACAAAGTCTAACTTTGAACTGATGATTGTGTTAATTGAAGAGTCAGAGGATCAACACGTTGTAACAAGGGGAACATGAGGACCCTGCTTCAGGTCCTGATGATGATCCAGCCAGTGTCTGAGTTAAGATCTAGACGCAGCGTGAGTTGGACCAAAGTGGTCGACTGACTGACTGAGAGAAACAGAGTCACTAACCCACCACCTTCACCTCCCTACATATGATGTATTTTTTTGTTTGCTTTTTGATGGAGTCCTTGATGAGTCTTGTCACATTATGTTTAATGATGGTTTATGCGTCAACATTAAGGGGAAGGTAAATGCTGAGATGAAGCTGAACACCTGAGAGGACATGTGGTCCTTAAAAGTATAGAAATACAACACACACACACACACACGCACACACACTTACTTAATCAAGCCCATATATTCTGCACTGTATAAGATTCACACTAAATGAAACAGTAAATTACTTGAGATGAAGATGAACTTTATCTCCTCTCTGGTGTCGACAGGATCGTGGGGATAGAAACACAGAGTTGTATAAATGTATGTTTTGTCTGTTGCTTTTCTAAGTTTGTTTCTCATGTTGTCTCTAAGTGGAGTTTTAACTGTTACACAAGGCCGTTTTTTTTTGCTCATTTAACTAATTGACAAACCCTATGGACTTGTGCTGGGGGATCCAGTTGTATTTTGTACCCAGTCAAACTGATTGTGGATATTTAATTCTGTGAAGAGGCCAGCTGTTTGCTCCTCCTCTTCCTCCTTTGCCATCGCTCTGTCTGCCATAAAGAAAAGCCTGTCACTACCCTCCTCTGCCTCTTGTAGGATGTTGTCTTTGTGTTGTAAGAACAGGACGAAATGTGATCATGGTCTGGGACAGAAGACAAAGTTTCCTGCAGAGAGCTAACAGACTGGTTTTCCCTCCTCTCCGTGTCTGTGTTGAGACGACTGAAATGAATTCTGTTTTATTCTTCGTGCTTCTCTTAACTACGTTTCACTGCCAAGTCTTGCCAAGTGGCAAAGCTGCTACGGGACAGCGATGGGAGAGAAGAACCTTGTGTACATTTGAACAGAAGTGTGGAGAAAACAGCTGATGTATGTGTAATTTGTACATGAATAAATAGCTTTTTCTATGAGTTCATATTACAATGTACATTAAACCCCTTGGTATTAAACCATAAATTGTGATATTTAACTCTGATTGGTCTGTCACTTTAAATTTCACATCAAAGGTCAAGTATTGCATTGCAGGAATTTAAACAAACATTCGTCTGCATGCTGTGGACGTCAGCTGGGTAGGGTCCAGGCCTCAGGTCTGTTTTATGTGTGATACCTTTGTGGTTTGGCTCTAATCGGTACCACTTTACAATAAGACCACCCTTATAATGGATTTATAAATGGTTTATAAACAATGACAAGTTTTTCACTTACAATAAGGCTCCTTATACAGTTATGAATGGTAGTCAGTTCATCTTGTTGCCTTTTCACTGAGCATTAAGTGTAATTCCTCTTTTGTAAATTTAAAGTCAACTCTCTCCACCTCCCTATCAGCAGAGTATCTGAGTCTTATTTATTTGACAAAAAAAGAGACAAAACACAACACTTAAAGATGAATTTAACTAATAGCATTAAAATAATAATAATTATTATTATTGTTGTTGTTATTAATATATCTTATGGCCATTTTTAATGTTTATCATTTTATTCTTGGTGTCTACTAAAATAGATACACTGTACATCTTATACTCATAGACTGTGAATAAAGATGGATGTAGCCTCCGTGACATCACCCACAGGTTTCTGAATGGCAGTTTTAAAGCTCAGAGTGAGCTGCTCACTGTCGCCATCTTGGCAGTGACTGACTCCGCCCCTAACTCTCAGCTAATCCAAAAATGGGCAAAAATGAGGAGGGGCATGTGTGGAGCTGAGATTTTGGTGCATGACAGTTTGTTTCAAGCATACACTCATTCACCTGTCACTCAAAGAGCCCACACCCTCAATTCTTCATAACTTTAAGCCTTAATAAAATGTAAACAGGCGAGTTTACATTTCAGCTTGTTGAATATCACTTTTGGATGTGGTTGTAACCGAATTCACCGACAGGTATCACCGTTTCTTCTCATATCATATTAAGTACTTCATTCATCGTTCTGACGATGTTCCTTATAATTGACAACTCCGCCTCTTTCACATGAACACACTCGTAGCTGGACAGGTAAACACAAGGTTTACTGGGCTCAGTACAGGTTATCAGGACGGTCAATTTTAGGTTTAGTTGGGGTATCTTGAACGTGCTTCGTAGTACAGGCCTCTGGCACTAACATGCAAATCCATGCCACACATTCTCCCTCTGAAACTCTTTGTTAGAGCACAGGGCTCTTTAAGGCTCCCTGCCCCTCTGAAACTAAACAATTAGGAAAACTGGGAAAAGCATGAAAGAGCCTCTTTAAATTTTCTATAGATGTCCCCATTATATTGTTATTGTGAATTATTTTTCTTTTTTTGGCCATGATAATAGTCCCAGCCCATATCAACCATAGGAACTGAAAAGGTGATGATATGTCAAAGTTATGTTCACAGTTAGTTACACTGACGACAAGTGCCCAAAAAATAAGTCACTGCATGTTCAAGATAGAAACTGTATGTTAGAAATCTGAATCAGACCTCTCAGACCCAGAGAGTCCAGACTGAAGGTTTTCCTCTGGGACATGACCCTGTTGTCCTGCTGTTCTGGTGGACAGAGTCAGACAGATGTTGTTTTACCACAGAAGGTCACTGTGTTGTGTGTGTTGTGTGTGACCTTTACTAAACCTTTATGAAGGTGCCATTGCATATTCATTGTGCCCAGTGTTTGTATTTTGATTGTCAGTGGCTTTTAGTTCAGCCAGAACAACAGAAACAAAGACTGAAGGTCTCTGTGAGGAGCAGTCCAGGAGAGATCAGTGACATCAGGTGTTAATGATGAGAACACTGTTTCACAATTTCACTGATTGACTGTTACAGCTGATCTGAAAACTTTATTTAGTGTATCTGAAGATGGGACAGGTATGAAGTGGATCTATGGCTGTGTCCAAATTCTAACAGTTCAAATTTTAAAAACTAGGACCATAAAACTTCAAGTTTTTGTGAAGGTTGCTAGGCAACATGAGCCACGTTTTGCAAAAGCACAGCTGGTGGCGCACAGCTGGTGAAGCACAGCTGGTGAAGTACAGCTGGTGACGCACAACGAAAATCATCCGTAGACCAGACCTTCTTATTTCAGTACCACACCTTCATGGACCACATCCTCTGAACGATATGGCCCCTGAATTGGGACACAGCTATTGTGTGTCTGGTTTCCATGGTAACCATCCAGTTACTGAGCCTCCTGTCAGTGCCACAGTTTGTACCGATTTCCAATTCTAGTGGGGAAAGCTCCACTGTAGGGTTTTTTGAACACAGCCCTAGAATGGCTCCTCCTCCAGCCAACCCCCTCATCAGGGCAAGGTTATAAAGCCTCTTGCTGGTTCCTCCTGTCAGTTGGCTGGTAGCAATGGCTGCAGCTGTGCCTCCTCATCCAGTTGTTGACCTGTCCACCCATAGTGAGCTGTTCATGCCCCATACCAGAGGGGGTAGTTTAGTTTTACATACTTTGTTTGACCTTATCGTTGATTTTGCTTTATTGGCTTTGTTTGTTTAGTCATTTGGGTTGTTTGTCCTCATTTGTTCTTTGTCTGTTCTTGGTTGTTTAGTAGTTAGTTGTTTGTTTACTTGTGATTAATTGTTTTGCATTATCTTTTCTTTCAAGTGAAGCTGAGTGCTGCGTAGTTGGGAGACTAGGCAACCCTGGTGAGCCCCCCACACTCTATGAATCCAAGTGAGAGCACTGGGACAGAAAGGGCTTCGAATCACAGTTGCAATGAGGTTTGCTGTGCTGCACCTGAGGTGACTAAGTAAGTAAGTAAAGTTTATGGAAAGGATGGGTCCCCTTGGGTCTTAAAGTGGGTATAGGGAACCACTAGCAGCCTCCGACCTGATGACCTAAGACTGCGGGTAGGAGTGTGAAGTTGTATCAAGTCAGAGATGTAAGAGGGAGCTTGTCCGTGCAAGGCTCTAAAAGTAAGGACCAGAATTTTAAAATGAATTCTAAGATGAACTGGTAACCAGTGAAGTGATGCTAAAACAGGTGTGATGTGTGCTCTTTTGCTTGTGCCAGTGAAAAGCCTTGCAGCAGAGTTGTGAACAGCCTGGAGACGGTCAAGCTCTTTCTTATTCAAACAAGTAAAAAGTCTGTTTCAATAATCTAAACGAGATGAAATAAAAGCATGAATGATGAGCTCCAATTCGGCCTTTGACACCAGTTTTCTTAGTTTGGATAATACTCAGTTACTCAGTTGGAAGAAGCAGTTTCTAATTAATGATTTGGTGTGATGCTCCAAAGACATTGCCAAACCAAAAACAACACCTAAATTCCTGAGGCTCGTCTGTCCAGCCAAGCCCAAAGGACCAATATGCTGCTTAATCTGAGGAATACTACGTTCAGGGGCAATAATTGGTGTTTCTGTCTTGTCTGAGTTAGGCTGCAAGTAGTTGTCACTTAACCACTGTTTGATGTTGGTCAAGCAGTTAATTAAGGAAGACAGTTCACAGAACTCAGTAACCTTGAATGGCAGTACAGCTGGATATCATTAACATAAAGATGATAAAATACAGATGAAGAAGATACTGTACTGCCTGATTATCTATCCCTCTCCTAGAGGGAGTATGTAAAAGAGGAACAGAATATGTCCCAAGACAGAACCCCGAGGTATCCCACATGACAGCCCTGTACTAGCCAGAAAGGTAAGATAAAACCATTCTAAGACCGAACCAGACATCCCAACCAGATCTCGTGGTCTGTTAATCATATGTTAAGATCAACAGTGTCAAAGGCAGATGAAAGGGCCAATAAAACCAAAGCTATATATTCCCCAGAGTCAGCTGACATCATAATGTCACTAGTGACTTTTAGTAATGCAGTTTCCATGGACTGCTTTGTGTGGAAACCAGACTGAGATCTGACAGAAAAGAGTAGAGTTGCTCCTTTATTT